TCGATTTGATCCTCTTATCAGAAGAGGAGGGGCCAGCAAGGGTTCGATGTAAGGGATCCCAACCTGTCCGATTGATATGACGAATTGACCTTATGGGGGTCATGGTTGAAAGCGCAACCTTCACGAAGATACGCCCAGGTTAGAAGAAGCTCATGGTTTCTATGAACGCGCAAATGGACGAGGGGCAAGCGCAGCACCTTTATCTTCATACCGACACCGACCGTATATGGTGATATTGCGACAAAGAGTGTCTTTTGCATTTTCTAGAGTCAGAGGAGATATGATGTCAGCAATTTCGCGTCGCATAACACCTGGCCATTGTCACTTCGAAGAGGCTTCCAATGTGCGAGACTCTCTGTTCGAAGGTCCTTCTCGAGTCAAACTGACCTCTCGCCTTTATCTTAGGCGACCCCGTCCCGCGTCGGGAATCATCCAAAGCAGGCTTCCCTGCAGAAGCCATGGTATGTCTTTATCCAATTTGGCGGGGATCAGCGCAAAGGGATCTCCATTGAATCATAACATGAGAAAGTATGGCGACGGAATATATCGAGAGGAGACCGCATTCCTCTATGCCAAGGTAGAAATATTCGACCGCGATGAATCTCCCTGAACGTCGAGGGGATTACGCCAAGGCAGTTCGTGAGAAGCAGAGGTCAGACTGTCGGTGCGGAATTCTCCACCCCAACAGATCGGAGACTATACAACCGAGCAATATTAGGCAATGGCCCACTATGCAAAGACGATAGGCATCGAGACAATATCGCACCCTGGATGGCCGCGTAAAAGGCACAGGCCGTTAAGGTAACTTGGGGGGAGCAAGGAACCGCGGAGAGAGGGGAGACTTGATTAGTACTCGACTTGGTTGGCCTCTCGTAATGGTGGTGCACGGGCCAACAACCGCCTGAAGCGCGCGTCTCCGGCGCCAAGTACCCAGACCTGGCGATGACGGAGCTTCCAAGAGGACAGCTAGCCACCACTTGGGTAAAAAGTGTCTCCTTTCAACTGTGCTGTTCTTAGCTACCGATATCGAATCTTGGGCTTCAATTTGTTCATTTTTGCCAGAGGCCTATTGCTCGATAACTTGGGGAGCTCGTGCAACATTGCGGTCGCCCGCCATTTGAAACACCGCGATAGCATACGACTGCCACTACTTCCCTAGAGAACATTCATTTACTTTGTCATTGTATGGATCACGACTCTCATTAACTATGTCCTCTTCAGGGCTGGATATCTCGCAGCTATCTGACAGCGAAAAGTCTGCTCTCGAGACCTATATCGCCGTGACAAGCCAAGAACCATCTGAAGCTATTCCTTTGTTACGCCGATCCCAATGGAACGTCCAGGTACGTCCTAAGCGTGGAGGTATCGGGAACTGAACAGTGATGCTGATCAATCACTGCAAAGATTGCAATCTCCAAGTTCTTCGATGGGGAAGGACCTGACCCCGTGGAAGAAGCTCGCGCTGCTTTGAACAATCCGCCTCCGCCCCAGCCTACCCGTCAAACCCGAAATCTCATGAACGATGACCTGAACGCGCAATTCTCCCCGGCCGCTCGAGCTTCAGAACCTGCTCCTCGGATCGTCACTCAGTCCGAGGACAACTCTGTTTACCGACCGCCTTTCTTGCTGGCGCTACTGTTTACTCCATTCAACATCATATATCGATTACTTTGCACCTCATTCCGCCTCTTCAGCAGCTTATTTCCGTTCCTGCCTCGCTTACTTAATACCACCGCGAACCCAGCTCTGCAGGGTGCTCGACGCCATAACTATGGACGTCGGCCTCTTGGACCTCAGGATACAGCTGCCAGGTTCATCCGGGAGTTTGAGGAGGAATACGGGTCTAATGCTGTGGGATTTCTGGAAAATGGTTACAATATGGCGCTGGAAAAAGCCCACCGGGACTTGAAATTCCTCCTAGTGATTCTTCTTTCTTCCGAACATGATGATACAAACGCGTGGGTCCGAGACACACTACTCTCGCGGGAAGTCCTTGAGTTCATCAAAGACCCTCAGAATGAAGTGATTGTCTGGGGAGGCAATGTCCAAGATTCTGAGGCATATCAAGTCTCGAACTCCCTCCGGTGCACGAAGTTCCCTTTTGCGGCTGTTATTGTTCACACTCCCAATGTGTCTTCAACTGCCATGTCCGTCGTTTGTAGGATCTCTGGAACAACATCGCCATCAGAGTTTGTGGAGAAGCTCCGAGCAGCGATTTCACAGAACAAAGAAGCTCTTGAACGAATCCGGGCCTCGCGAGCAGAGCAACAGGCTTCGCGCACGATTCGGGAGCAGCAGGATTCGGCCTACGAGCGATCACTGGCTATCGACCGCGAGCGTGCCAGGCAGAGGCGGGAAGCTGAAGCAGCTCGGCAGCGGGCAGAGCAAGAGGCGGCCGAGCGGCAAGCGGCTGAGGAGAAACGTCTCCACGACATTGCGCAATGGAAGAGATGGCGCGCAGCGTCTATTCAGGACGAGCCTGGGCCCGAGGTCAAGGACCCCATCCGCATCAGTATCCGGCTACCTTCGGGCGAACGTGTCATTCGCAAATTCGCTCCTGAGGCCCACATTGAAGAGCTCTACGCTTTTGTCGAGTGCTACGAAGTTCTGCAAGGCGCACAGGGGAAGCCTTCCGGAGTGGAAAAGCCCGCCGGGTTCGAACATCAATACGAATTCCGACTTGTGTCGCCTATGCCGCGGACGGTGTATGAAGTCGAAGTTGGCGGATCGATTCGGGACAAGATCGGTCGCGGTGGGAATCTCCTTGTGGAACCAATTGATGACAGTGACGAGGAAGAGCAGGAAGCATCCTAGGCACGTTGGAGGTCGACTGTTGATGTACATGGCATTGATAATGACATTATGGTAGACAGGCGCACTGCCCTAACGCGTGTCGTAATGGTTGTATGATGATAAAAACGATATTCATATCTACCTTATCCTTGACATGACAGTCTGATATCTTAAGCTTTGCGTCATACATATCCATTCAGTGCCATGTCCAGCATGCCACGTGCTTGACTGGAATGTCGCAGCTGAGCATAAACTGCATTGACACCACCACGACATAAACCGAGTAGTAAGCCATAGCCTTCCAAGTTGGACCAAAGCTATGCTCGTTGCTCCCCGCATAGTTGCAACTCGTATCCAAGGCGCACGGAGACCTGCACGAACGCCATCCCGAGCGCCAACGGGATACCGGATCGACGTGGGCGTCATAGATGACAGATGTATCTAGATCATCTGTCTCAACTCTCAAGTCTCTCAAATGACAATTGCATCGAATAACCCTGTAGTCTACCTCATATTACCACAAGCCACAACGTCACACTATGGGATCGACGTGATCATCCCAGAATATCGACGAGCTTGGATATAGATTTGAGTTTATGATCCATAGGTAACTCTATTTTATGTAGACTTTACAGACTGCGGCACCGTCCGGAGAATATCAAACACGTAAGTCTGAGATATTATTTAGACCTTTCAACCTTGGCTATGCAGGTATGGCAGGGTCATCCTGGCAGTCTATGCTTCCAGTACTCCGTATAGATGATTTCATTTGACATGATTTCGTAGGAGCACCACTCCGTAGATACACAGGATTAATCCTTTGTGCTGATCACAGACACGTCGCGCAACGGAGAATCTCCAGTGACTTTTGCATGAGGTTTCGAGTCACGGTTAATGGATCTCAAGGCGATGTTATGCATGTTGCAGGAGATATCGAGATTAATCTCCGAAGATCAGCGCGTCTTTATTCCTACATAGCTGACTGGATTGGAATTATGCAATAATGCAGTATCAGCTCGGAGGTGGCCAGATCCGAAACAAAGAGATTGTAACGGGGCGAGGCCGGCTTCGGATCACCAGAATCCCGCCCCACTTGCGTTCTCCGATGCCCCTTTCTGGACAGCATTTCCTCTCTTGGTAGCGGAGTTTTTGCCACGTTTTTCTCATATCCCGGAGGGTTAGTATCCTAAGGTGTCATATTGGAGTTGTTGTCATCTTGTGCAGAGTAACTGTTCTATAGATATATTTTCTATGATCTGGTCTATTTTAGAGGCATATCATTTTTCATATCATTCTTACCTAGTGGATGTACTCCGTAAATAAATGTCTGCTTGCGTCTCCGCAGGAAATTGTTGATTGCAAGTCATGTCTTGGCATTCATGAATATCATTTCACTCATCATGAATCATCTTGTAGGAAACCTTGTACAGAGTGCATATCGGCAGAGAACCAACCCGAAAGACTGCCACGTATAGAGTACCTTACTATACAGTATAAACATTAACAAAAAGTATCAACAGCATCTGTTCACAGCAGTTCCGAAGTTAACCCTGGTACAACTGGTCTCATCACGGATCAGCCGCAGTTTGATTGATAGAATGCATTCAAGGACTCAGAACGAATTATGAATGCTATACGGATACTCCGTAGTGTCGATTAGGCTACCGTTCGCTTATTGCAAGATCCGTGGTCCGGCCGGATTCATATGGACATATTTTTTCGAATTTTACGGAGACAATCGCCCATTTGTTCCCGTCCCTGAGCTGGGCTCGGAGTAATCCCGTGTATGCGACCCGATTCGTCAACTCCAAGGGGAGAAGAGAGGATCCTGCGCCAGTCATTGGTTGATCTGGTAGTCGAGAAAACGGGGGAAACCTGGACCTTAAACTCGCTAATGCTAGTCATCATTCTGGAAGCCCAGACTCTTACTGCATAAAGAAAATGGGGGGAGGAAAAGGCGTATTCAAATACGATCTTATAATAATGGTGACGGCGTTACGGGGTCCATCTTATATTTTAGTTTATTTACCTCTATATCTCCATCTCGACCCCCTCATCCATCTTTCTGTCAATCTCTCCCTCTAATCTATCTTTATATATCACTCGCCTCATCCTCCTGTGGTGGTGCGTTCGAATTTTTATGCGTGTGCCCGTTGTGACGCAATCCCTTCCGAAACGAGACTGAGTGTCTCACCCAATCAGCCATCATGTCTCTTTTAGGGACGATAAATCCTAATCTCAACCCAGAGCGTGCAGTGGCAGGTCGAGGAGCTCAGGAGGAGGAAGGAGAAATTGCCAGGGTCGAATCCAATCACCATAACAATGCCGCCAGTGTCAGCACTGACGAAACCGCTCTGGAACGGTCAAAGGAGATCGGCGATGAGGATGTCGCAGCGGAAGAAGTCACCCGCCTGGCACGCCGATTGACCCGTCAATCGACCAGATTTTCAACTAGTGGCAATGTCGAGAATCCATTTCTCGAGACCAAGGAGGATTCGACGCTGAATCCTCTCAGCCCGAATTTCAAAGCCAAGAACTGGATGAAGAATCTGCTCGCGCTTTCATCCCGGGATCCTGAACGGTATCCCAAGCGTGTGGCGGGTGTTGCTTTCAAAAATCTCAGTGTCCATGGCTATGGTAGCCCGACCGATTATCAGAAGGATGTGTTCAACTCGGCGTTGGAAATTGGCACCCTTGTCCGCAATGTCATGGGTACCGGCAAGCAGAAGATCCAAATCCTGCGCGATTTTGATGGTCTTGTCAAGAGCGGTGAAATGCTGGTCGTTCTGGGCCGTCCTGGAAGTGGATGCTCGACTTTCCTCAAGACCATCTCCGGCGAAATGAACGGTATCTTCATGGATGAGAAGTCGTACTTGAACTATCAGGGTATCTCGTCCAAGCAGATGCGCAAGCAGTTCCGTGGTGAGGCTATCTACACTGCCGAAACTGATGTGCATTTCCCGCAGCTGTCCGTGGGGGACACTTTGAAGTTCGCTGCGCTTGCTCGTGCTCCTCGGAATCGTCTGCCTGGCGTCTCCAGAGAACAGTATGCCGTGCACATGCGCGATGTCGTCATGGCCATGCTTGGCCTCACACATACCATGAACACAAGAGTCGGCAACGACTTCGTCCGCGGTGTCAGTGGTGGTGAGCGTAAGCGTGTCAGTATCGCTGAGGCAACTCTCAGTGGAAGCCCGCTGCAGTGCTGGGATAACAGTACCCGAGGTCTGGACAGTGCGAATGCGCTCGAATTCTGCAAGACTTTGAACCTGATGACCAAGTACGCCGGCGCTACTGTTGCTGTGGCTATTTACCAAGCCTCCCAGAGTGCTTACGATGTAAGTAGCATATCTCTACCCATGTCCGCTGCTCAAGCGCTAATTCGATCTGTAGGTATTTGACAAAGTGACTGTTCTGTACGAAGGAAGACAGATCTACTTTGGACGCACCGACGAAGCCAAGGAATTCTTCACCAACATGGGATTTGCATGTCCAGAACGTCAGACAACCGCTGATTTCTTGACTTCTCTCACCAGTCCTTCCGAGCGTGTGGTGAAGCCCGGGTTTGAGGGCAAAGTCCCACAGACCCCTGACGAATTCGTAAGAGCCTGGAAGAGCAGTGAAGCTTACGCCAAGTTGATGAGGGAAATCGAAGAGTACGATCAGGAGTTCCCAATTGGCGGTGCGTCGCTCGAAAAGTTCATCGAGTCCCGCAGAGCAATGCAGGCGAAAAACCAGTAAGTCAGAGGCGTCCTCAAACTCAGGTATCATGTGCTAAACTCTCCGCAGGCGAGTCAAATCCCCCTACACCATTTCCGTATGGCAGCAGATCCAGCTGTGCATGATCCGTGGTTTCCAACGTCTTAAGGGTGATTCCAGTTTGACCATGTCCCAGTTGATTGGCAACTTCATCATGGCCTTGGTTATTGGAAGTGTTTTCTACAACCTGCCGAACGACACAAGCAGTTTCTACGCCCGTGGTGCTTTGCTTTTCTTTGCCGTGCTGCTTAACGCCTTCTCCAGTGCCCTCGAGGTCAGTCCACTTGGCTAATGCGGTGCTACCACAACCAGCTGATTGTCTCCAGATTTTGACACTATACGCCCAACGTCCCATTGTTGAGAAACAATCCCGCTACGCAATGTATCACCCCTTCGCTGAAGCTATAGCCTCGATGCTCTGCGACATGCCTTATAAGATCACCAACGCCATCATCTTCAACCTTACACTCTATTTCATGACAAATCTTCGCCGCGAACCGGGCGCGTTTTTCGTCTTCTTGCTCTTCTCTTTCGTCACCACATTAACTATGTCCATGCTTTTCCGTACGATGGCTGCTACGTCCCGGACTCTGTCCCAGGCCCTGGTGCCCGCCGCTATCCTCATTTTGGGTCTGGTCATCTATACCGGCTTCACGATTCCGACACGGAATATGCTTGGCTGGTCGCGGTGGATGAACTATATCGATCCCATCGCATACGGATTTGAGAGTTTAATGGTTAACGAATTCCACAACCGGCAGTTCTTGTGTCCAGACTCTGGATTCGTCCCGTCAGGCGGCGCATACAACAACGAGCCCTTGGCGAATCGGGTCTGCTCGACAGTCGGTTCAGTTTCCGGCTCTCGCTACGTCCAAGGCGACGACTACCTCCACCAAAGCTTCCAGTACTATCAGAGCCACCAGTGGAGGAACCTGGGCATCATGATTGCTTTCATGGTTTTCTTCATGTTCACCTACTTGACTGCGACCGAGTACATCTCGGAATCGAAGTCCAAGGGTGAAGTACTACTGTTCCGACGAGGCCACGCACAGCCCACCGGTTCCCATGACGTCGAGAAGAGCCCTGAGGTGTCTTCCGCTGCGAAGACGGACGAGTCCAGTGGCAAAGAGGCTACCGGGGCGATTCAGAGACAGGAGGCAATCTTTCAATGGAAGGATGTGTGCTACGATATCAAGATCAAGGGCGAACCGCGCCGTATTCTTGATCATGTCGACGGCTGGGTCAAGCCCGGTACTTGCACTGCTCTCATGGTATGTAGCTGACGACTACTACAAGCGCGGCCCCCAAAAGTGCTCACAGCTAATCTTGTCAACAGGGTGTCTCCGGTGCTGGTAAGACGACACTTCTGGATGTGCTCGCGACCCGTGTAACCATGGGTGTCGTATCTGGTGAAATGCTGGTTGATGGTCGCCCACGCGATCAGTCTTTCCAGCGTAAGACCGGCTATGTGCAGCAACAAGATCTGCATCTACATACCACGACTGTCAGAGAAGCGCTCCGCTTCAGTGCTTTACTTCGGCAGCCCGCTCATGTTCCCCGCCAGGAGAAAATTGACTATGTTGAAGAGGTTATCAAGCTGCTTGGCATGGAATCCTACGCGGATGCAGTCGTTGGTGTTCCTGGAGAAGGTATGTCTCCTGTCTACTGTTTCTGTAACCCGGCTGACACGAACCAGGTCTCAATGTTGAACAACGGAAACGTCTTACAATTGGAGTCGAACTCGCAGCGAAGCCGCAGTTGCTTCTGTAAGTTGTGACCTCAGGCAAATTACCATGGCCTAAGGCAAATTACTGACTAAGTGTATTGCGTCTGTCCCCATTGTGGGCTAGACGCGTTTCGTGTCGTGCACATTAGTTTCCTTGACGAACCTACCTCTGGTCTCGACAGTCAAACTTCCTGGTCCATTCTCGATCTGATCGACACTCTTACCAAGCACGGCCAAGCTATCTTGTGTACTATTCATCAGCCATCGGCAATGCTGTTCCAACGATTCGATCGTCTGCTGTTTCTTGCCAAAGGTGGCAAGACTGTCTACTTTGGTGAAATCGGAGAGAAGTCGTCTACTCTTGCCAGCTACTTTGAGAGGAATGGCGCTCCTAAGCTCCCTGCCGATGCAAACCCCGCCGAATGGATGCTTGAGGTGATTGGTGCCGCTCCCGGTTCGCATAGTGACATCGACTGGCCTGCTGTGTGGTGGGACAGTCCCGAGCGCAAAGCAGTGCATGAGCACCTTGCTGAATTGAAATCGACCCTCTCGCAGAAGCCCATTGACGCGTCCAAGGCCGACCCCGGCAGTTACAACGAGTTCGCTGCCCCCTTCACCGTTCAGCTGTGGGAATGTCTGCTTCGTGTATTCTCGCAATACTGGCGGACGCCTGTGTACATCTACTCCAAGACCGCACTCTGCGTCCTCACCGCTCTATATATCGGTTTCTCCTTCTTCAAAGCCAAGAACAGTGCCCAGGGTCTCCAGAACCAGATGTTCAGTATTTTCATGCTGATGACTATCTTCGGTAACCTGGTCCAACAGATCATGCCCAACTTCTGCACCCAACGGTCTTTGTATGAAGTCCGTGAGAGACCCTCAAAGACCTACTCCTGGAAGGCATTCATGGCCGCCAACATCATCGTTGAGCTTCCGTGGAATACACTCATGGCCGTCCTGATCTTCGTCTGCTGGTACTACCCAATTGGGCTGTACCGGAACGCCGAACCGACCAACTCTGTCCACGAACGCGGAGCACTCATGTTCCTCCTTATCTGGTCCTTCCTCCTCTTCACCTCCACCTTTGCGCACATGATGATCGCCGGTATCGAACTCGCCGAGACCGGAGGCAACCTTGCCAACCTCCTTTTCTCCCTCTGCCTGATCTTCTGTGGTGTCCTCGCCCCCCCTCAATCCCTCCCCCGCTTCTGGATCTTTATGTACCGCGTCTCGCCGTTCACCTACCTTGTATCAGGCATGCTGTCAACTGGTGTATCAGGCACATATGCAGTCTGCGAGGATGTCGAGCTCCTGCACTTCGACCCACCAGGCAACTTGACCTGCAAGGATTACATGGCCGACTACATCTCACAAAGGGGCGGCTATCTAGAGGACCCCTCCGCAACCAGCGACTGCGCCTTCTGCACCATCTCCAGCACAGACACCTTCCTCGGCGCCGTCAGCAGCCACTACAAGGACGCCTGGCGTAACTTTGGCATCATGTGGGCTTTCATCATCTTTAACATCTTCGCTGCCGTCTTCATTTACTGGCTTGCTCGCGTGCCCAAGGGCAAGAGAACCAAGGCTTCGACGTGAGAGCCTGCCCTCCGTCCCTTCTAGCTTCTTTTTTTTTTTCTCAATTTTGCAGTTATACGGCATATGCGCCTCCTAATTCTTGCACAATTTTGTACTCTAGACTTTAGACTCCGTGTCACGGCTTGCTCGCGTGTACGACGCTTAGACACATGCACATACACTTTTGCTCTCCTTTGCTTCTTTGGACATACCCTACCGATCTTGACTATGCTCTCTTCTCCTTTCAGGTATTTAATTTTGGATTGCTGCGGACACTTTCCAGCGGTGACACAGAATATAGACAGAATGTGAAACTCATCTAGTCTACATGAAGTTCCTTAAAATAACGTAAGTATGCTGTAGGAACCTGAAATTGATGTATGTAGATCAATAGGTATGTCCTCCGGAGTTTTGTGTTTCAAGGTAACAAGCTGACTGTGTATCAGATGGCTCCAGGTCACAAAGATACTGCCAGACAACTTGTATCAAACCAGCGACAAATAATGAATGAGAGAATAATGCACAAGGAATCTGAAATTAATGTACATAGATAGGTAATAAGGTAAGGAGATGTTTGGACAGTGAGAAAGAAAAGATAGAAAAAACGAATTGACAGCCCGTACAAGGACAGCCTCGAAAATCTACACGTCAACGCCTTCAAACATGCAGCCGGAGCTGGAACAGGATCTACCACGTGAACGCCTCCTCGGCAAAATCGACCACCGCGCCCTTCCCGATGTTATTTCGCGCCGCGGCGCGCACCTCATCTGCAAAGGCGCCCGGCCCACACACAGAGACGATGGTCGCGCCGATCCGTTTGGGGATGACTTCGTTCAAGACGACGTCCGGCCGGCAGCGGCCCGGGAACATCTGCACTGTGGCGCTGGGGGAGACGATCTCACGGCTGCTCTTGGGTTTGGAGACGAAGAGTTTGACGGTGAGGATCTCGCGGCGGCCGGGGAGCCGGAGGATCTGGTCCATCCAGTCGCGGACCCAGGTGAGGTGTTCGGTGTTGCGGACGGACCAGATGAGGTAGATCTGCTGCGTTGCGACGCGGCCCTCGGCGGCGCGGATGATGAGGTCGCGCACGAAGAGCATGTGATGTGTGATGCCGGCGCCGGCGGAGAAGAGGACGGCTGTGCCGTAGCTGCCCATGTTGGAGGCGTGGGAAGAGTAGGGGCCCTCGATGTAGCCTGTGGTGTAGAGGGTCTGCCGCGGGGCGGCGAGGGCTTTGTTGTACAGCTTGCGGGTCATGCCTTGGCGGGCGCCAACGATGAGGGAGACCGAGGTGGGTTGTTGATCGCCCCTCATGTAGTCATCGAGGTCCAGGGCGGTCTGCTTTTCCAGGAGCGACGGGGTCGTGGGGCTCATGACGTTGTCCGGCGCGGCTGCAGGAGTCATGCAATTGTTCGGTTCGACCCAAGCGATTGAAAAGGGGTGGGACATCCACATGGAGACGCTCGGGATGTAGGCGAAGACGTGACCGCCAGGGTTGATGCGGACATGCTTCGGCAGGTGGAAGGTCACCTTGCAGGCCTCACCGGGCAACGCTTCGACGACCAGTTTCGTCGTGCCCTTTTTGAGTGAAAAGTTGAGGTACAGCAAGCGGAGCAGCCGCGCTGATCGGTCAAACAGCCAGATAGCACCAATGGCCTTGGCCCAGGGGATCTGGGGAAGATTGTCCAGGTCCAGGTGCACATAGACGCCGATGAAGACCAGGAAGGCGGCAAGCTGATGCAGATGTAGGAAGGTCTCGTAGAAAGCATGGCGGATCGGCGAGGGAGAATGGAGACACAGGAAGACCATCGCGACGGCACCAACCAGACCCCAGGTGAAGAATGGGGTATTAGTGAGTCGTACCAGCATGCGCGAGAAGTCTTCTTCATCGCACGCATTGACCGCCCAAGACGCTGCGTGGACGACGCTCTCGAGTACCACGATACGGCCCAGCCATCGATGCAAAAGATTGTAGGTATCGAAACTGATGTGCAAGAGTGGGATCAGGGGATTGTTGCGACCCGCGAGAAGGAACAGAGGCACCATGTTCAGGACGGCCAGATTGCCCGACCGGCCACGAAGCTCGGCCACGAGAGCCGCTTTCTCATTCACGGCATAATCCAAAAAGCAGCAATAAGCCACCTGGCTTGCCACATACAGCAGAATCAGGATCGAGTGAAACCTCGACGGTAAGGTACCCACATTGATAGCCGAGGACAGCTGGATTTCCCGATTGTGTCTTTTGCGACCCAGAGGTGCGTAGAGAATGTGCTTCTTGATATTTGCCCACAAGCGTGACTCCTCGACACTCCAGAACATTTGCTGTCTTTGACTGGCCGTCAAGGAGGTAATATGTCGCAGATAGGCATGGCTGATCTGGGCAATCCGGCCGCAGAAAACCACCAAGGCTCCGGTGATAACAGACCAGTAGATGATTCGCGTGATTATGACATCTCTGGGAATATTGACCCCATTAAGGCCTCTCGAATACTCGTAAACGTAGGTAGTGTTTATCCCATGACCGCGGGGAGTGATGCGTTGGTGAAGGTCGTCCATGGGAAGGACTGGATAAGGCGGAGTCGGGAGTGGTCCTGTAGTCCGACGACGAGGAGCTGAAATGAAGTCAAACAGAAAAGAGTGTCGATGTGAAGAGACTCTTCAGCCAGGAAGAGTCGACAGCAGGCAATGCAGTTTTTACGCAGTTCAAATGCCGTCCAATGATGTAAACACTTCTGATGGCTGGGAAACGACAGGAATGCGGAGACCAGGCAAGCTGTTACGGAGCGACTACGATGGTCTGGACGATCGAAGCTGACGAACGACAAAGACCCTGCGAGTGCACCGACAAGAACAAGAATACTTGGGGTTAAAAAGAACGACGTCCTGGGTGGTTCTCTCAGAGTAAGCCACTGCGTGCTGGCGATAATATGGCACAGCTTGAACAATGGTGATTGTTTCAACTGGAGAGCGGACAAAGAAGATCCTCAAGGACAATTGTGTCTAACAAAGCCAAAGAATGTCAATACCCCAGCTATGACATTTAAACTCGACGTCTCACAGGCGACAAGCACCACAGAATCAGAGACACGAACGGTCTCTGACTATGCCGTCAAGACGTCGATGACATGCCAGCCTTCGAGATTCCAATGACACTCACCTCCCAAGTGCATGATCGTCCGCAGAAGTATTCAGCAGAAGCTTAGAAGACGCTCAGCGTCATAAAGTATTCAATGATCGGTGACGTCGATCCTACAACAGATTGCAGACCCTCGTTTGCAGCTTTGCAGATGCAAAGGGATGAGTTCTGAGACAGGAGTGATCGACAAATAAGGAACGAAAGGAGACAACAGAGGCTCAAGCAAAAGTGTGTCTCTGATGGAAGAAAGAACCTGCCAAGAGGTTCGACAATGAATAGAAATGGGATTGAGTTGAAGTGAACTGCAGATCTCCTCCTGATGCGACGATCAGAGCCAGCTGAAGCGGAACGGTAAATATCGAATGCTAATAAATGAAGACGAACTGACTCAACAGGAAACACAAGAGAAGGGAAAGAAAAGAACCCGAGGGGAAAAGCTACCCTGATGTCAAGAGAAGATCCACAAGGCAGATTGGGAAAAGAAGAGAAAGCTCGGGAAAAACCAAAGCAAGAAAGCAGACTGTCCTGCAGAGCTGTCATTCTGAAACGCAAGTGAAGGAGGGATAGGTGAGCCCCATATCAAGGCAAATAATAATGGCGTGGTCTTGGGAGAGCAGTTCCTATCCAAAGCCAAGCCAATTTTGGCGAATCATCGTGCCGTGCCTATCCTGATTCCTGAATCCCTTGGACTCCCTTTGATCCCTTTGATCCGGAAAATTTGAATTTTAGGTCGCTGATGGGCGATGACAAGAAGCGCCCTTGCAGAGGATGTCCGACCGACAGCGAAGCGCATCGCCGGCCATACAATCAATCAATCTGTAGGACGCGAGGCGCTGAGCTGGACGCGCCCAGCCCCTCTTCAGCAGCAATTCACAGCTGTGCTCATGATCATTCACCAGTGGACTTGCTGAATTGGCCACATGGAGTGGATATGTGCCAAGTGAAAGACCATAATTAACAGATTGGTCCAGGGTGCCCATAGAGTTGTTTCATATCAGGGAGCCCACACTGAAATCTCCGCTCATATTGGACTGTTGGCTAACGGCTTAATAGCGACACACCCAATAAGATACCAGTTCTCGAACAGCTAGCTGACAGTAGCTCGGGCCAGGAAGGAAATCCATTCGCCCATTCCCTTCTACTTCCTTTTCTCCTCGAGATGAAACAACTTAACGAGAGTGGCTGCTGTAGTTAGTTAATCTCTTGCTTACCCGAAGAAGGTACCTTTTCCTCCTCTACCGAGTCTTTTCCTGATAGAGTCACGTGAGACATGGGTGTCGCACTAGTAGCAATAGTTTAATCTATTCCTCATGGTATGTCTCATTCGAGTCATTCCCTTCGAGTTCTATTAGACTAAATATTACAGGCCATGATTTTGTTGCCGAGTTCCAGAGTCTCTTGTCATGTTCCCGATTCGAAGAGAACGGGTCCGCTTCAACATGACAAGTCAACGGCCCATACCCGGCTAATTGCGAATGGATACAGTCTCACTTCAACCACACAACCGACCTATGAGTAGAAGGAGTACCTGGAAGCATGCACAATGGTCCAGGCGTCATTATTTTGGAACCTCTCGGAATCGCCCAGACACCGGCTACGGGACACTAAATCTATTCAAGACCATGGCCAAAAGCCGGCTGGGTGTGGTACGTATAACACGCTAGAGCAAAGGTGACCTGACCAGCTTTACGGAGTTAGAGCTCTCACTGAGCTAAATATGGAGTAATAGTCCGAGTCTTTCTATCATTTCCATGTGTTATCTATTATTAACACAATGACATTCAGGAAGAGCCAATCTTCGCGACACCATTTATCGGCCCATCCAGCCTCCGTCGACACAGACCACTTCACCTGAAACATAGTTGCTTGCTTGACTCGCCAAGAACACAATAACACCCTTGAAATCTTCCGGCTTCCCCCATCGGCCAGCTGGGATTCTGGCCATGATGCCAGCATTCCGATTGGTATCATTGATCAAGGCGACGTTCATGTCCGTGTCAATGTACCCAGGAGCGATGGCGTTCACATTGATACCCTTGCTGGCCCACTCGTTGGACAGGGCCTTGGTTAATTGTGCAATGCCACCTTTCGAGGCTGCATATGCCGGAACGGTGATGCCACCCTGGAAAGAAAGAAGCGATGCAACGTTGATGATGGAACCACGGCGGCCGGAAGGAAATTCAGACGCATCCCGAGCCAATAGGTAGGCTCCGAATTCACGGCACAGTGTAAACACAGAGGTCAAGTTTACTTCAATAACCTAAGGGATTTCGTAGACGCAATCAGCTTCTGCAGGATCAAGAACCAGGGGAAAGGCTGACACACCTCGTCCCAATCCTCGTCGGGAAACTTCTCACTAGGGTGTCTCCTTTGAATGCCAGCGCAGTTAAGGAGAATTTCGGGCTTCAGTCCCTGGCTGGTCACTGCTGGAATTATTTTCTTGACTTCTTCTCGTTTCGACAACTCTGCCACATGAATCCAAGCTTTTCGACCGACTCGGTTGACAATTTCATCGCGGGTTGATGTGTTTGATTCGTCTCTCTAGATACATGATACCGATTAGTACCATACGTAGTGCATCCCTCGCCAAGCTACAAACAAAGTTAACTCTAGTGCTCGTACCTGGATCAGTATAACATCCGCACCAGCTTCAGCAAGGGCAATAGCCATTGCTTGACCGATACCCCTCGTCCCGCCCGTCACAATTGCGGTCTTTCCGCTCAGAGAAAATAATGAAGCAACAGTTGCCGACATTCTGACGATCGCACTGGAAATTGATGTTGATGAGGAGATGCCGGAGATCGAAGCGACGATATATTCTTTTTGTTGTCAATGCTCCTGTGAAGATTGGTTGGACGAAAGGTCCTGAGAAATATGGTCAATGACAGCAATCGCTTACTTAGGAAAGATTCTCTATGAGACTTCACCGTCGCTGGTGACGCTCCATGATCATAAATATCAGCCTGCTGCGTTGCTCATTGCTGTCCCCCACATGCGGGGGCAATCCCACCTGTTGCCCAAAAGGGATACAGCCGTTGCCGTCAGTTACTGCCGGTCCGCCGTCGGCTATTGAACCTGCCCTGAACAGCTGGATACAAAGCACGTGGCTCGTATTGTTACTGTATGCTGACAATACTGAATCCGGGGTGTAATCGCCTTCGAATGATGCAACCAAGTCGCTTCGCATGCCTTTAATAAACAGCGATCGAGACTGAGTATTGAGGTGAACTCATGTGTCTCATGCGTGAGGTTTGCGCGGGATCTGTAGCAAAGATATTGGATGCCACAAATATGCTTTGGCAAATACTGAGCCTTGACCGTGGAGAAAGATGATCTCAATCAGTGAACGAATCCTAGGTAGATTCCAGCGTTATCCTATAGACACAAACTCTGATGCCATCACGAGTCTGTTCTGGGATGTCTGACAATTCCCAAAACGCTATATCATGTCTATGCCAGAGGCCATGGAGTCGGAGAGGAAGGTCCCTAAAGTCCCTACTTAGGTAACTAGCATATCGTATTACCCTCTCATGCAACGACCCCCAAACTTACCTGAGGTTCACAACCCTGGTAACGAAGTTGCCGCTCGCAACCTGTACCGTATACGGACCACGAATCATCTACCCCAGATTTCATTTTGCCCTTCAATCACCTCAACATCATTCGTGAATAAGTGCTCAAGCACGCAGGGAATCTGCTCCTGTTGCTCTCATCAAAGTGATCAAAGTCTAAATCCCATATTGTGGGCCAAGGCGCTCGTGCCTTGACGGCCAGACCTTCCAGGATAATATGGGCTGTTGAGCTTCGTCCTGGAAACATCAACCTTTGCTGAATTTTCATCTAATGTCTATTTGTCTGTCGACATAGAAGGTACACCGCATTCAGGGTCCAAAGGCGACAGACCTTTTCATCATCTCGGACCACTACATTGAACCTCATTTACCTCACTAATGGACGCGATCGAATGCCAAGCCTCGCCAGCACCACGTCAATGATGAGACAAATGAGGCTCATGTGCTACTGCTACCAAAATTTCACATTCTGACCTGAATCTGCGGCATTTGAGCAGCAATGGAACGAGACGAACAGTCTCCTCAGCTGGCAGACACCGTAGGGTCGAGGCGAAAATCTCGCTCCGACTCTTCAGCGAAGCGCGTATCAAGAGCCTGTTTGCACTGCCGACAGCGTAAATCCAAGTGTGATTTGTATGTTCCCATCCGCATGCCACATCGAACAGGGGTCTCTCGTCTGTTTCTCGTCCTCTATTACACTGCGCTAACAAGTGAACAGGGACAGCAGTGGCAGTCCCGGGGTACCGCCATGTCAGCGGTGTATTCGAGACAACCGTGAATGTGTCCTTGGTGGTTCAAACCGAGGGGGACGCCGTATTCGCAAAAACAAGATGAAAAATTTCACCCCCGGCACTGACTCGTCCACGAGAATAGAACCGCTGATGGACGCAACCAGCCCGTCCACCACAGATAGTCGTCCGAATGCATCAACTTCGTACTCCAATCCAGTTGTCTTTGTGCAGCCGAACCCTCCAGCGACAGTTGCTGTTTCAGAAGATGACGAAGATACAGCTTCCATCGGTTCTGTACCGCGGAATCCGTCGGACGCCTGGCAATGCCTGACAGGCATTGCCAAAAGAGGCACCGATGACTTGAGTCCGGAAACGGAATCTGCGCGTCCTGGTCCAAACGGTTTCCCATCATTCTCAGCATTTCCGAACGGCGCAGTTACGGAGTTTCATCCGACCAGTGGCATCAAGGCCTACAGGCTGGTACAGACGAGGTCTCTGGACCCAGGAACAGTATGGCAGCTTGTGGCTCGTTACGCCGAGAATTTTCATCCCTATCTTCCGCTGGTGCCGCGAAAATACTTTGATCGCAGCGCGCTCGACGCCTTCGCCACTAACGAGAAACACTTGTTGACGGCGGTGCTGACCATTGCCTCCAAAGACCTGATTGAGCGGCCGGAGATCCACGAATACTGCTCCAAGTACATGCATGAGCTCATCTCCGGCATTGCTGCTGGTGCCGACTGCGATGTGGAGGCCGTCGAGGCGCTACTCCTCCTGGCTGAGTGGGAACCTCAGGGTCTTCGGCCGCGGATCGAGCTAGTTGGGCGTGGCGAGGAGGACCGAGCCGCCTGGATGCATGTCGGGCTTGCTTTGCGATCGGGCTATTTTCTCGGTTTGGACCGCACGTCTTTTCGGGGTGATGCTTCTGGAGACACGGAAACAGAGGCCCGCAGGCGACTGGCGTGGACCTGCTGCTACATCTCCGACCGGCTGATTTCCGTCCGTATCGGGCGGGCTTTCTGGTCGCGAGGTCCAGGACCAATGACGGGTCTTGTCAGCCAAGATTTCCCGTCCCTACAACCGGTCAAGAGCGATGAAGAAGACTATGCAAAGATCCTCCAAGCGACACTGGATCTTACGCAACTCTATAACAACGTTCACGATGTACTCTACTCCGGGATGCGGACCAGCAATCAAATGATGCTCATGGGCGACTACGTGAAATACGTCGACGATTTCCGCCTTGCCATTCTCCGTTGGAAGTCCCGCTGGGGCTCGCTTCCCTGTATGGCCCCGACCCCTATGCCCTATGCTTGCGCTGTCAATCACTTACGCATTTGCAGGTTCTACACCGATGCGCGCCACGTTGCAGTTGTCATACGAGTATCTGAGGCTCTATACGAATGCATTTGCATTTCAAGCTGCCATCTCCCAGTCACTGGTCTCCAAGCACAAAAACAACAATCAGTTGCAAAGGGAGCATTTGCGCGCGACCTTCAACAACGTGGCATCAATGCAGGATGCGCGCTTCATTTACGAGTCTGTGGATGCTGCGAAAGCGTATCTGACTATACTTGTTGACGAAGTGCATCCGGAAAAGCACTTGCATTTTATGCCTCTGAGGTTTTACCTGTATGGAATCTATGCAGCGGTCTTCTTATATAAGGTGGGTTGGTCGTCCAAACGACTCGAGTATGAACTAACCCTTGGCAGGCGCGTTCATTCGGTGTCATGCTGAACTCCGAGGAGATGAAGGTGCGAGAACTAGTCACTCGCACCACCGAAGTCCTGAAGCGAGCAAGTGCCGGGCCAGATGATATTGGGGCTCGATATGCACGGCTCTTGGAGCTCTTGTGGCAGTCTAAACCTGCGCCTGATCTCTCCCCTACGGCAACCCACCGAAGCAGCGATCTCTTGATGCAGAACACGCTCAATCGCCTGCCGGAGCAGAGCCATAATGTGCATTTCAGCCCTGCCAATGACTTTTCTTGGCTGGATCTTGAAGCAGTCGGAGATTTTGTGTCTGGAGACCAAATTCCAGGAGCCGGTACTCTAGCGTTTGATACATTTCAACAAGAGCCTGATTTGTATCAATCAGGGCAGGACCGTTCTCAGCCGTGGCAGATGTCACCCTGGGCCGGAGACATGGCAGGCAACCTTTTGTTTTAAAAAGCATGCTTCGGGAATGCGTTACTCACATATTCCGTGCCGGTCCAGACTTGACGAACAGCAAAGTCAGTCTTATTATGGCGTGGGTCGCATAGTCTAGGAACTGTAAAGTTTGATTTTCCGTGTACCTCCAGCTCACCTCCGAGACATTGTCAACCCCCACACTGTTGATGCGGGGCTGCGGGGCGGGCATTGATACCCGCCTACTCGGGAGTTGCTCCGAGGACCATACAGCTACCAAGTGGCTAGCCGAGGGGCGAAGCGTTGCTCATCATCTTCTCCCCCGAGTATCAAAGGGTTATTCTATAACCTGGCTCTCGTTCTCAACGGTGCAGATCGTTTGTCACTCTAATACTATTTACCAATGGCGCAGTTGAATGAGGTACGTGGCCGATTGGCCCTCATCACAGGGGCATCTGGAGGGTGAGCATCTTTCTATCCACTTGGTAGATGTCTCTGTGCTGACACTTTCGTTAGGATCGGAGCAGCATGTGCTCGTCAGCTGGCCCGAAGGGAGTCCATCTCGCCCTGACGTACTCTACCAACCTCGAGGCAATGAATGCGCTTGTAAAAGAGCTTAGATCCAGCCAACCGGCAGCAGATGGCGCCGATGCACTTCGCATTTCAGTCCACCAGGTTGACGTTGCGTCTGCAGAGCAAATCCAGACCATGTTCGCGCAGATTGACAAGGAGCACGGACAGCGACCGGACATTCTTGTCTCCAACGCAGGCTACGGCAAGCGCGTCCCACAGGTTTGGGATATCACACTGGAAGAGTTTGACTATACCATCAACGTAAATCTGCGGGCCTCCTTCATCCTGGTGAAGGGGGTTGTCGACCGTATGAGGGAGCAGCGATGGGGTCGGATCGTCTTTATGTCTTCGATTGCTGGGTACGGCGGCGGAATCAATGGATGCCGTAAGTGCCACTGTTAAGCGTCTGTCGTCGACTAGACCGTCAGATAACTGACCCTTATCAATAGACTATGCCGCGTCGAAAGGCGGGATGACTGGCATGATGAAGAATCTCGCGACTCGTCTGGCGGAATATAATATCAGCGTCAATGACGTGGCGCCGGCCATGATCGGTGACACTGGCATGATTCCTAGCGCTCAAGCCATCCCTGACGTTGCAGCGGGAATTCCGCTTGGTCGACTGGGTACCCCTGACGAAGTGGCTAATGTTGTGAGCATGCTCGTAACGACGGGCTACATGACTGGCCAGAGTTTGCTGCTGGCGGGTGGTTTAAAATAAATATGCAGTTCTTGTGAATACTTTTCATATAAGGAAATCAATCATGCAAGTACATGTCTTAATCCTCTACATATGCCACATGTGCAGCGCGTAAGTTGCGCTTGCTCCTCGTGTCCACCAATGTGGAGTCATCATTTACAAACAGGGTATCCATCGCCGGACGAACACGAACAAAATCCAATCTAGCTTTCAATGACAACCTTGACCACCGGCCTGCCCGTCTCATCCACTCCCTTCCCCGCCAGAGCAAACGCCCGACTCCCATCCTCAAGTTTGACCCGATGCGTAACAACCTGTTCCTCCACATGGTCGAGCCTCCCACTAGCCATCAACTCGATCGCAGCCGGGTACGCATGGCCATCATACCGGAACGTGCCGATGATATCCACCTCCCGGAGCGCCGCCGCGCTCACCGGCAGCGTCTGGATGGGATTCCCCATCCCGATCTGCACGAGGACGGCGCCAGGGCTGGCGGCGTAGATCCCCGCCTGCACGCACGCCGGCACCCCCGTACACTCGTACACGCGCACAAACCCCGACGCAACCCCATTCGCTTCTTTCAGCGCCGCCGCGGTCCGCTGGGCGTTCTGCATGGCGTACGCGTTGTGCTCTGCGGCAGGGGCGTCCGGGGCAGGCGGCGGGTTGGCCTTGTCGCCGCCCTTGGGGAGGAGGTGGGTCTTCAGGCCTAGGTTGAGGGAGTTTGCGATCTCCAGGCGCGCGGGGTCGATGTCCGCCACGACGATTGAGGTGAAGGGCTGGGAGGTGGCTAGCGCAGCCGCGAGGAGGAGGCCGATGGCTCCCGCGCCGAAGATCAGCGCGGCGGTCTGGTCGCCCTGCGCGGTGGCCAGTTCCACTTCGCCGGGTGTGGGTGGGTGCGAGCGGCGGATGGCGTGCAGGCAGACGGCGAGGGGCTCGATGAGGGCGCCGCCCGCGTAGGAGACGTTCGGGGGGAGCCTGTGGCAGAGGTCGGCGGGGTGGTTGGTGAGTTCCATCAGGGTGCCGTCAAGATGGGGGAAGAGCTTGGCGCTGCTGCGGAACTTCATGTCCGGGCAGATGTTGTAGCGGCCGGTGCGGCAGAGGGTGCAGGTGCGGCAGGGGAGGCCGACTTCGAGGGCGACGCGGTCGCCGACCTGCAGGGTTGTCACGTCTGGTCCGAGGGCTGTGACGGTGCCGGAGGATTCGTGGCCGAGGCACATGGGCTCGCGCACGACGAAGTCGCCATTGCGGCCGTGGTTGTAGTAGTGGAGGTCAGAGCCGCAGAGACCGGTTGCGCGGATGGCGACTTGGACTTCGGAGCCGGTGGGAGGCGAGATGGGCCGTGATTCCTGGACGTTGTTATTATCGAGCTGTTTGTATGAGGACAAAAGTTGTTACTTACCAGGCGGAGATCTTTGGCGCCGTGGAGGACGAGTGCTGTTGTGGTGGTTGTCGTGGTCATGGTGCTTGATGAAATGTTCTTGTTGCTGGGATCAAGAGGGACCTTGGAAGAGAAAAGTTCTCATCTCATTGCTATGGCAGAAGAATTATTATGGATGATGCCGAAGCATCATCAGTCATTCATTCATCTTCTCTTCCCCTCGTCGGCCATTGAAGAACGTGGGGTCATACCGGATTTGCTCCGCAGCGGGAATTGAACCGCTTTTCAATAGCCGACAGCGAAGATTACCAACATAACATGCTGTATTTAAGAACACCACAGTCGGGAGTATCCTGAATCTAAGACAATTCTTCTGCACCAGCGACTTATAGATAGCTTCGTCACTCTGTTTCGGTTTATCTGAATGTTAGCCAGTATCATTCCTCGCTTCTTCTGCATCTGGCACAAATAATGTTGTTGTCTTGCTGTACAGTAGTTTGTATTCATGTATTGATGTATCTGCCGATGCAATACGGTGCTGTAATATTGGTATTGGTAACCCCCACGCAATATGGAGGAGCTCCGGGAAATGATAACCAAGATCAAGTCGAGAAACAATATCAGTAAACATGATCAGAGGCCAGATACTAGTCAGGTGAATCCTTTCAATTATCTCTTTGCGTATCTCCCTTTCTTCTTTCTTCTCATCTCAAGTGCTCTGTCCCTCCCTGCGCTCTGTTCTTGAACATCGAATTCTTCTTACACCGCGATAAGAGCTCTCACCCCGCTCTCCAACTCTGACATCATGCCTTCAGCTCTACTCATCGGCGACATCACGCACGCTAGAAAGGAATGGGAAGATCTCTCGTCCATCCTGACTCTGAAGGTGAGCTCGCCATCGTGGTCTGGTAGAGTGTCCTCTCTAATGTAGCGTTCAAGGAATTTCCCGAAGGCAGCAGAGACGAGTTCATCCGGAATTGCAAAGAAGGCCAGTACGATGATGTGGTAGTGATTTACCGATCCAATGCGTCTACCAAGGTAAGCGGAGCAGTGGAACGGGACGACAAAGGTCTACCTGCTGATTGAGCTCAGTTCACTGGTCCCTTCGACGCGGAGTTGCTCTCGGTCCTTCCCGAGTCATTAAAGTATATCTGCCACAATGGTGCTGGCTACGATAACATTGACATCCCGGGCTGTTCAGAGAAGGGTGCGATCATCTATGAATTTTCGATACGGAAGTCAGAAAAGCTGATAAAGTACAGGAATTGCTGTCTCCAGTACCCCAGTCGCCGTAAACCACGCAACAGCCGATGTAGGCATCTTCCTGATGATTGGCGCTTTGCGCCAGGCTTATGTCCCCTTATCTGCTCTCCGCGCCGGTTAGTATTCTGCCGTTCAATTCTACGAACCCCGAGAAAATTGACATCGTCCATAGGCCAATGGCAGGGAAAGACTACGCTCGGACATGACCCTCAGGGCAAGGTGCTTGGTATTCTCGGGATGGGAGGAATTGGAAGGGTAAGCCCTGTTCTTTCAAGTCACAGGATCCTGCAGCTGATTTCCTTGCAATAGGAGATGGCCAATCGCGCACGAGCTTTCGGAATGAAGATACAATACCACAACAGATCGAGACTCTCACCAGAGCTTGAAGGGGATGCGCAGTATGTCTCGTTTGATGAGCTGCTGGCGAACGCGGATGTCCTCAGCTTGAACCTCGCCCTCAATGCGAAAACTCGCCATATCATTGGCGAGAAGGAGTTCCAGAAGATGAAAGACGGTGTGGTCATTGTGAACACGGCTCGTGGTGCTTTGATTGACGAAAAGGCTCTGGTCGCCGCTTTGGATTCGGGCAAGGTAAGCTCCATCCTATCCTTCTGAGTTATGGTAGTAACGAATGTGACAGGTCATGTCCGCTGGTTTGGATGTGTATGAGAACGAGCCCAAGATAGAACCTGGACTTGTAAATAACCCCCGCGTGATGCTGCTACCACATATTGGAACCGCGACCTATGAGACGCAGAAGGAAATGGAGCTGTTGGTCTTGAACAACTTGCGCTCGGCGGTGGAGAAGGGCGAGATGATCACATTGGTGCCGGAGCAGAAGGATATCTTCAAGGGGCAGAACGGGAAGTAACTGATGATCCAATAGACCTTATTTTCATCCCGATAGAGCAATGCACATTTTATAGACGACCATTTCCCCATATCTATAACCATAATAACCATCACTGAGTTAGATAATGAAAGCTTAAGAGAGTAACTTTTGACGTTCTGATCTGCCGGGCGGTGAGTGATTTGACTACCGGACTGGGTCTAGTGTTAGGGCTCGCTTAGGGCGTGCGGGCGCCAAGAGCGAAAAAGCGCACCACAACGAGCGAGCTTCGCGATCTCAAGATTCCAGCGGCCGACCAAAGCAAAGCGACAAACTTCTCATCCGACATCGAGGACCACCCCGCTCGGCAACCGCATCAAGATGGTGAGTGTTTTTGACATTATTCAAGACGACGGAAACGATGGCGAAGGAATGGATCGAAAAGGAAAAAAAGGCAGACGGCAAGAGTTGAGGAAATACGCTCTCAGGACGTCTCCCGTTGCACCGGCGATGTTCGACCTTTACCTGTGTCGTTCCTGGCTATGCCCTGTTCACAAAAAGAAAAAAAATCCGATAATTTGAACCCTACCGACGCCATCGTTTTCCCTCCGTTTTATACGTCGTGAAGGAATTGGGAATAGGAAATGGATTTTGCTGATGTTGGGTCTTTGTTTGCCTTAGGTCCGTTACGCTGCTCAGGACATTCCGGCCGCAAAGAGCGCCCGCGCCCGGGGCTCTTACCTGCGTGTCAGCTTCAAGAACACCCGTGAGACCGCCCAGGCCATCAACGGCATGAAGCTGCAGCGCGCCCTTACCTTCCTCGAGAACGTCAAGACCAAGACCGAGGTCGTTCCCTTCCGGCGGTACGCTGGCAGCATTGGTCGCTCCGCTCAGGGTGAGTGCCGACAATTTCTTTATCCCTTTAAGTGGTGGTATCGGTTCAGGTTTATGGGAAGGTCTTGTGGTTTTGGCGAAGAGACGGGATGGATTTTCTAAGGCTCTCTGCTTGGAGCACGGATTGATGACCATTTGGGGGAACATATTGAAATCAAATGCTGACTATATTACAGGCAAGCAGTGGGGTGTCAGCAAGGCTCGCTGGCCCGTCAAGTCCGCTCAGTTCCTCCTCGACCTCCTGAAGAACGCTGAGGCCAACGCCGACACCAAGGGTCTCGACACCGGCAACCTTGTTGTCAAGCACATCCAGGTCAACCAGGCTCCCAAGGGCCGGAGACGCACCTACCGTGCTCACGGTCGTGTACGTTGACCTACGTTCCACAGCTGGAAATTAACCAAGAGACTGACTCGAAGTCTAGATCAACCCCTACATGACCAACCCCTGCCACATCGAGCTCATCCTTACCGAGGGTGAGGAGACCGTCCAGAAGGCCCAAGTTGCCAAGCGCGAGGGTGCCCACCTCAGCTCCCGCCAGCGTGGTACTCAGATCCGCCGTGCCCTCATTGAGGCGTAAGCGGGCTGTAGATGTCGGGGGGTTAGGGTAGTCGGAAAATGAATGGGAAGCCGGAGTTTGCTGTTGTACGGAACAAATACCTGGTCACGGAAAGGAATGCAAAAGAATTTCCATTATTCTATCTTCTGAATAAAACGAAAAAATTCGAAACCAAACGGGCGATGAGCATGAGACAAAAGACATAGGCTAGGGACACCTCGTGGAGGGTCCGTCAGCATTGACCTTTGACAGGTCTGATCATTTTTTGCTTCTGTCTTCGTCCAACGTTTCGAGGCTGGGACTGAGTAACTGAGGTTCTCGTCTGGCAATCGGTTGATGATCGGTTTCTTGTCTTGGTACAACCAGCCCGGACCTTCTCTCATATATTTCGAGATAATGTCGAGCGCTATTTCATGAACGGGATACGGATTCATCTTTCTCTTGATACTCTCCCTTTCCTCCATGGATCGAGGCTACTCGGATCCAGACTTAAGACTCTACAGTGTAACAACATGAAACTTTCGCTTATCTCTTGTAGTCCAAAGGTTAAACATGAAGATGAACTCAAAACCCATCACCAGCCATAGGTGCTTGACCAAGGAAACGCGACATTCGTCAGCTTCTGCAACATATCATTGATGCCTTGAGAGCCAAGCGTGGCGGTGCTGCTCTGCTTGTCTTTTTTCAACGAGAACATAGCATTCGATGCGGAGCTTAAACTGGTTCAACGAATAGCTCATCGCGTGCTGATGGAGTAAGACTCTTAATTCCGATATGCATACGTATCAAGTGTACTCGCTTGCATCACCTGCTCAGACGATAGTGTGGAGAATAACTGCCTTGCGACCGATGGACAGAGGACTGATATTGAATACTCATCATCCAGAGAACAGAAAGCTGGCTTGCGTGTCATTTGACGCACATTGCCACTGCCAACTCGGGCCTACCTAACCATATATTTCAGACTATGGATTGTGGCTCGTGGTTATGGTTCTGATTATGGTCCAGGCACATCGGAGATTTGCGTTTCTGCCTTCCGCGCAGAGGTACTGCCTAAACGTCTCCGTACTAAAGCTACTTTTTACCTAGTTGGGGTTGTCAGCTGCGCTGGTGTCTATCTAGCCAGTCTGTCTACTTTTCCTCTCCTCTTGTCATACCACTATATTCTGCGAGGGATTCTTGTTGTATCTCTCGTTTTCACGAGTTCTATATAATGAAGCGCATATTTGGTTCTCTCAGCAAGCGCTCGAGTGAGTCACCATCCGCCCCTTCTATGGACCCTTGTTTACCCCGGGACGCTCATTAGAAATAGGCCCATCGCTCAACAGCCCTTCGGAGTACCCGGATGACTCGCCCGAGGGAACGATTCTGAAAGCAGTGGTACGTGTGACCCTCGGAAATATCGTTCGAATGACATCAAATATCGAATAATCACTAATGCGACAACTGGGGATTACAGAAAGAGTTCTGCGAGAGCGGGGGACAGCAAGACAACCGAGTAGGTTGGCTCATTTGGCTCACCAACTGCGCCGTCATTGCATAACATCGCTAATATCCTGGTCGCATAGCAAGGAAACGAATTCGTCCACCTGCCCGCCATAGTCGAAAGCGCAGAGTCCAGCCCCAATGCCGCCAGAGAGGCTGCCCAGCGGCTTCGCAAATACCTGTCCGATCCGGCCTCGACTTCAGCCCAGATCCAATACAATGCGATTATGCTAATGCGCATACTCATCGACAATCCGGGCCACACGTTTACACGCAACATTGATGCCAAGTTCGTCGCTACGATAAAGGACCTCCTGCGTAATGGGTGGGACCTCAACGTGCAACACTTCCTGCGGGAAACGCTGGGTGCCATTGAGTCGCAGCGACAGTGGGACGAGGATCTAGCGCCGCTGATGCAGATGTGGAAGAAGGAGAAGAATAAGCTGAGCAGGCAGAACAGCGGGGTACGCTTGTCAAGTCATGGTGAAGTAATGGAATACATTGCTAACGGTTCGCGGTTGGGCAGAGCACCTGGAGATCTTCACGGTCGCAGCAGCAGCAGCAGCCATACATGCAGAACTCTGCCCGGCCTGCGTCGACATTACCACCGCCAGATGAACTCGCCGCTCGCGTGACTGAAGCCAAAACGTCGGCCAAGTTACTCCTGCAGTTCGTTCAGTCGACGCCCCCCGCAGAGTTCAACGGAAACGAGCTCATCAAGGAATTCTGTACTCGTTGCCAGACGGCATCCCGCGCCATTCAGAACTATATACATTCGACGAATCCCGCACCGGATGAGAACACGCTTCAGACCTTGATCGAGACGAATGATGAGCTGTCGGTCGCGTTGTCCAAGTACCAGCATGCGTTCCTCAGCGCCCGCAAAGCAACCGGCAACTCGGGCAGCCATTCACCCGTTTCATCGAACGGAGCCACTGCGACTGGTACCAATCGTCCGCTCCCTGCGCTCCCAGTGCCGCAGCGACAAGAGCAAAGTCCCTCGCCCTCGGTCTCCTCACCAGCACCGCCACAGCAGCAGCAGAGCACTGCAACGGCGGCTCCTTTGTCAGCGGCGCCTCCGACGGGAGCGCCGGTGAGTAATAGCGTCGCTCGATACGAGTACCGGTCGGAGGATTTCCAGGTACAGAATCCATTTGCGGATGACTACAGCACAACCAACAATAACAATCTGGGTGCCACAGAGAACCAACAACAGGCGGGATCATACCAACGTCCTACGCAGCACACTCTCTGAGATCGTGGTGATTTACTTCTGGCTCGGCCATTTCTGGTTGGCTTGTTCCCAATATGGGCAGTTTCAGACGATTGGGCGTTCTTGAGCCACTTTGCTTTTCGGTGCAATCTAGCCGCTTTCATTATGATGGATATAATTGATGCGATACCACTTTGCGAATCATGAGCATTGGATATTCCCCCTGCGTTTTGATTACTTGTGGCATTACCCCCCTTTTGCGTGTGATATAATTCGTGGATTGATTGATCAAGGATTGAGGAATTTGAACATAAAATCATCATGAATTGTGGAGACTACTATGCGGACCTGATGCCTGTTTTGACACTTAGATAGTTATCCAATGGGTCGTCGTACTGAGCGCATGTGAAGGCGTCAAGCGTATAGATTGATGTTTACGACGCTACGACTCATGAACCTCCCACGGATATTACAGCAGGACAAAATTTTGCCTAGGGAAGCAGGCCGATTCGCCATTGAAGGGTAGATGTCGCACGATATGAGATTTGTCTCTCATGGGATTGTGGCCTTAATGAAGATGAAACTCGCAGAGTGCCAAGCATCCTGGAGCTGCTCCTAAGCAATTCCACCGCCGTCTCCATTTGTTTCATGACAATTTATCCAAAACAACATCGGCGCTTCGGTCTGCTTAGACATTTTCCATGCCCAGTGAGTCGGTCGGTCGCGTTCCGACGCCCTCTGACTCGTTTTTAGCAGCTTAGTAGATAGCTAACGGCTAAGCTAGTGCCAATCCTGAGCCATGTCCAGCTCCTAGACCAACACAGATCACAAATGCCCTTTTCCGGTGGAGTAAGCCGGCGCAACTGGTGAAATTTCGGGGATGAAGTCTATCCCTGAATCCCTGTTTGAGTCTAGAGCCGTGTATCAGAATGGACGTCGCTCCTGCAGCTGGTCCTGTCCGTTATTGTATATAGAGTTGGTCGGGCTGCCTTGATTCCTGCTCCTCTCTTCTCCTTCTCTCAGCACGCAGGCTTGCTTCATTCCACATTCTTTCTTCTGAGATTGTTAGGTCTGTGACCATTTCATTCTTTCTCTTCCTTTCGCTTCAGTCTAAGACTCTCCTTGATCGATCCACGTTCGGTATACTGGTATACCTGTTCCATTCTCTGAACCTCATACTTTCCACACTTCAATTCCCAACACCTACAACCAGCACAATGAAGCAAACCGGAACTCTTGTTGCCCTCGCCGGCCTGGTCTCTATAGTCCACGGTCACGGTTTTGTCACCTCTCCCAAGGCTCGTATGCCCGGTCCGGCCATGAAGGCTGCCTGCGGTAACCAGGTGGAGATCAACCAGCAGTCCGACAACTACGGCAACATCCAGGGTGAGCTTCAGGTCGCCAAGAGCCAGAGCGACTACAATGCCGAGGAGTGTGACATCTGGCTCTGCAAGGGCTACAAGTTCGCCGACAACAAAGACAACGTCTACTCGTACACCGCCGGCCAGACCGTCGACTTCGTGGTTGACATCCGTGCCCCTCACACCGGTGTGGCCAACGTCTCCATCGTCGAGACCGCCAGAAACATTGTGATTGGCAATACTCTCAAGTCCTGGACCGACTACGCCTCGACCGCCACTGGTGTCACCAAGGACGAGACCAACTTCAGCATCACCATCCCCGACAACCTGGGCAGCCAGTGCGCCCAGGCCGGTGCTTGTGTCCTCCAGTGGTACTGGTATGCCGAGTCGATTGACCAGACCTACGAGTCCTGCATTGACTTCACCGTTGGTGGCACCCGCCCTCCCAGATCTAGCTCCAGCTCCAGCTCCAGCTCCTCTTCGGCTCCTACCACCACTCCCAGCGTTGCTATCACCACTCCCAGCACCGGAAACAACGTGGTCTCCAGCAAGCTTACCACTATGGTCACCAGCGTGAGAGCGTCTGCCACCCCGTCCGCTAGTGCTAGTTCGTCTTACGTCTTTCCCCACGAGGGGCATTGCCGAGGAGCAGCTTAGCTACCTTGGTTTTCTTCTGAATAGTCTGCTGCAGTATGCTGCTTAGGAATAAAGCGCGGGTGTATCACATGGAGGGGTGAGATGTGTGTAAGTAGTGATAGAAATAGAATTGCCTGCCTGCATAAGTCCGCACTAGAGGAATAAGCATGATGCATAAGTGGTGTTGGTCTACCTGACAACTGCCCAGCTAAGTCATGAACTGGAAGCATTACTGCCCTGTAGCCGTACGGGTTTCGGGTAACCGCGGGTTGACCGACGCGCAACAATTGACAGCGTCTGAAAACAATAACGCGACAAAAAGTAAAGGAGACATCTTCGCTATATACCACGAGTCCTCATTCAACCACGGTAACGAGGCCCAGCCATGGCCTCTCCCACTTCTTGCGCAGTGAATATGGTCGACAATTAAACAACAGGGCAAGTGGGGAAGGAACGGCGAAGTGAAAAAAAAGAAAAACAACAAATGAGAGCAATTCTTGTCAAGTGAAAGAACGGAACTAATCAGCGCCCAGATCAGCAAAAAGGCTGGCAGTAGGAGGCGCAAGCCAACCTAGGAGAAACGGTTGATCTTCGGGCATCTTATCGTCTTGATCTGGACAAGCTGGCTAGCGCTCTTAGAGAGGTATTGATATCAAATTCTTATCTAATAGGGATATCAAATTCTCATATTATAGGGATATTGAATGCCATCTATTATCAATATTGAATATCATCTAGTATCAATATCCAATTCTCAGGAGGGAGGAGGTAGGAGCTTTAGGGGCCTTAGAAAGGTGGCAGGGAAATACAAAATTAAGGCCTGAGATAAGAGGCATAAAGGCTAAACCCAAAGAGGGAATTTCGCGGTGATTACCGTTATTCCCATATGATAAGAGTGGGAGAAGTATATAGATCCCACTCCCGCCAAGCGACTTCATTACCACCACCGTGACATCACGTCGTCCTCAATCTAGAGGCCTTTTCCCCGTCAACAATCATCATTAGAGAAATACTAGCCATCATGAGTACAAGCGTCATCACCAATCAAGCAACCCTGGACGCCCCTCCTCCCACTTGTCCAGTGGAAACCCCGACCATCTCGTTATTCAGCTCGAATTCCACCACGGTCTCAGTCAATCTTGACGTTCAGGCCCCATTCCCCGCAATCAGAGCCCTCTTTGATTATCTGCACGCCCACCCTGAAGAGGTCCAAAACTTGAATGCAACATACCCCCGCCGGGGTGTCATGAAGACTGCTGCTTTACACAAGACCCAGTCCGACCAGAAGTTCACGATCGATCTCTCGCCCGTGCGGACCTCCCGGATTCCGGACACGCTTCGTGATCGCCTGTCTCCGCACGGATTCGATGATGTTCTCTGCTTCTTCGACACCCTCGCTGCTCAGTATGTCCCCACTATACTTTCTTCTCTGAGCATCCTCGCCGGTACCGACCTGTCCAGCGCACACACTTCCTACAACATGAACTATCGCCTATGTGACTACCATCCTAGAACGGCTGCCCCAGAATCGTTGAATGGATGCGGAGCCCATACGGATTATGGAACCTTCTCCATCATCTTCCAAGACGGTACCTCGGGTCTGGAGCTGGAAGAAACCCCCGGCATGTGGGTCCCTGTTCCCGGAGATGCTACGGTTATTCTTACTGGCTGGTGTGCGGTCATCCTGAGCGGCGGTCGACTGTCTGCTGCACGGCACCGTGTTCGACGTACTCCCGGTGTGCGTCGGTTGAGCGCTGTCTTGTTCGTTGCTCCTGATCTGGAAGTGAAACTGAAGCCTCTACCTGGTGTTCAGCCGTCCAGAGCTTTCTCTGACACCATTATGCGTGGAGACTTGGGCGTTGAGACCTTCAAAGAGATCATGGGAAAGAGATGGCGCTGGCGAGAGGGAAATGAGGAGATGGATGATGGAGGCTCCATGTCCCAAGATAGCGAGGTCGAGAAAATGGTTTGGGGCTAAGTTGAGTCTGACAGTTAACAGCTGTTGCTATTCGCTGTGGGTTAGGTAGCCCTTGCTTAAACGTAGTACGACTGAAATTAGGAATGTTTTCATCGATCGGCTGATTACTACTATTTAAAGGATAACGTAGTTATAGCCCCTGGGGTTGACTTAGCTTTTAATCAGCTTCTCATATTACGGTAGTAGATTAAGCCCCTTTCAAAGCTAGGTTGTTTCCCTTTATTCTTTGGGTCTACTCCCCATTCTTTTGGAAGAAGCTTCCTATGCATCCAGAATTGCCTGTCTGTAGAAGTCTGCCGCATTAGTGGAATATGCATAATGCATGTAGTGTGGCCCTGACATATCCGTCGATCAGATAAGCTAAAGCTCAGCCACTGCCAAGTCGGGTTTTTTCCATTTCGGGAACCCCGGATAACCTCACTTTTCCCACCGTCAATGATTAAAAGCCATCCATCCCCCATCTTCTCATCATCCATCATAAGCTGAATTACTCCGTATAATTGACTACCTCACCATGGAGGACAGCCACTTTCGACACAGCATCTCTCACCACCCTTCACCCTTCAACCCCCACACCCTACACTCGCACATCCCCCGAGACCGAGCCTCATCGGCCTTGAGCTTGAACGCGGCCACCAGCACAGCTCTCGATCCCTCTGAGCAGACACAACCACACAACTCCCAGCACCGCACGAACCCAAGCAGCGATGAAGAAGGCCAGCCACCGCCCCGATACACCCCGGAAAACGATCCCTTCCAGCTCGCCTCGAAGCTGAAAACCGCCGAGGAGATCCGCCAGATCCAACCGGTAGCCAACACCTCGCGCAAACGCGATGCCTCCTCCTCCTCCTCCGCCGCTGCAGGAATCAAACTCCGCAGCCGCAACGCCATCTCCAACACCCTCGCCTCGCGCCAACTGCAGGGCTTCTACAAGGCACAGAACGAGAACATCGAGCGCATGCTCAAACCCGTCGAGGAACACGTCCGCGCCGCGCGCGAACTCAACAGCAACAACGCCCTCCGCTACCGCATCGCCGTCTACGGCTCCTTCGCCGCCAACGTCGTCCTCTCCGTCCTCCAGCTCTACGGCGCCATCTCCTCCGGCTCCCTCTCCCTCTTCACAACCATGGCCGACGCCATCTTCGACCCCTGCTCCAACCTCACCCTCCTCCTCTGCAACCAGGCCGTCAACCGCGTCGACCCCCGCAAGTTCCCAGCAGGCAAGGCCCGCATCGAAACAGCAGGCAACATCTGCTTCTGCTTCCTCATGACGGCCGTCTCCTTCATCCTCATCGCCTTCTCCATCCGCGAGCTGGTCGAGGGCTCCGACGCCGCCACGGGCTCCTTCCACCTCCCCTCCGTCATCGCCGTCGTCGTCGCCTTCTGCACCAAACTCGCCCTCTTCCTGTATTGCTGGGCCCTCCGCAACCAGGTCTCCCAGATCCGAATCCTCTGGGAAGACCACCGCAACGACCTCCTCATCAACGGCTTCGGTATCCTCACCTCCGTCGGCGGCAGTAAACTGCGCTGGTGGATCGATCCCATGGGCGCCATTCTCCTCTCCGTCCTCATCAGCGTCCTCTGGCTGCATACCGCCTACCATGAGTTCCAGCTGCTCATCGGCGTCACCGCCGATACCAAGATGCAGCAGCTCATCACTTATATCTGTGTGTTCTACCGTGTTCTATTTCTAGATGATCAAAAAAAGGCTAATGACGCTCAGCTATGACTCATTCCCCCTACATCACCGCCATCGATACCGTCCGCGCGTATACGTCCGGCCCCCGGCTGCTCGTCGAAGTCGACATCGTCATGGCCCCCGAGGAGTCCCTGCGTGCGACCCACGACGTCGCCGAGGAGCTGCAGATGAAGCTCGAGTCGTTGCCCGATGTGGAGCGGGCTTATGTCCATGTCGACTATGAGACGACGCACAAGCCGGAGCATTTCTTGAAGAAGGAGCTATAGGCGCTATGTCAACTATGATTCTGGATACCATTTGCTATTGCTATTATGGAATACGTGTATGGGCTGGGATGTTTTCGCAAGGATCGTTGGGAATCAATGTATTCTGTCTAAGGTGTATCCACATGTCATATCTATCTGCAACCACCACTGGCCTCTAGATACCTGCAACCCTGGCTCGCCAGAGCAAGAAACATACGGGTGTCCTGTGAAATAAACCCCAAGAAAACAAAGAACAAGAAAGAGAGCCATGACCATCATCAGCACACGCAACAAGCAACAGGCAACAAAATGATCACGATTGTTCAAAGAGAGCAATAGTAGAGCAAAAGTTACTCTCGTTCTCGTCCTGAGGCACAATACCCGCGCCGCTCGACGAGGTGATCATGTTGACGCTGGCCTTGGTGCTCAGTGCGTACAGATGGACATTCGAGCAGTCCACCTCCACCATGTTCTCCTGGCACGACTCGGTCTCCAAGCATGTCTGCCCGTAATTGTCGAAGAAGCTGTACAGACCCGCCCCGTACACGAACAGGTCCGAGGTGTTCATCACGCGCAGACCCCAGGCCTTGCGGCACGAGGCGGTCGTGCAGTGGGCAAAGGTGGGATCGTTCCATGTGGTCTGGGGCGTGAAGGGTGTCAGTGCGTCGGGGTTGGACTGGTAGTATGGCGTCTCGGTCTGGATCAGGGCCATGAAGACGTTCTGCGCGTTTGCAACCTGGTAGTTGTACAGCTGGTGGTGCTCCGAGGCCGTGCCATACAACCACACGGGTCCATCGCTCTCGACCAGGACACCACGGCCGGTGTAGATGTTGATCTGGTTGTGGTCGGCCAGATCGAGCTCGTGGTCCGCCGTCCAGAACCAAGCGTTCTCGATGTAGGCGCTGGCATGCTCGGTGATGTGTAGCAACAGGAACGCACCGATGCACTCCGGGTTGGGGTTGGTGGTCACCGTGGGCGTCTTGGAGCACTTGTCGCTTTGCAGTTCCGTGCCTGCGGAGCCACCAATGCGGAAGTGCACATCCCACATACCCACAGATCCCTGGCTGGTTTCGGCAACGTTCCATTCCATCAGGACTGCGCCCGGCGCGGGGCCCTTAGTCTGGATGGCGAGGTCGGTGATCTCCACAGAGCCCTTCTCTCCGGGCTGACCAATCTGGAGAAGGGGAATTGGGTTCTTTTCGTCCGCAAATTTGTCGCCGTAAGCCATGAGAAGGGGCCAGACTTCACCGGTGATCTTGATATTCTTGGGCACTTTGATCGTGTCGGTGATGATGTAGGCACCGTGGTCGAAGTAGACGATCTGGTTTTCGGTCACGCTGTTCAGCACTTTCTGGATGGCGGCCGTGTCATCGGTCTGGCCATCACCCTTGGCACCAGCCGACTTGACGCTCACAAAGGACGAAGCGGCGTATTCAGTGTATTGAGGCTTGGATCGCTCAAACACCTTCGGGCCATTCAATAAAGTGCTTGGCTTGGTCGCTTGAGGCATGACGGTCTGGACTCGCGTCTTGGTGATTGCCTTGCTCGCGCATGCATTGGCACTGTGGCTCACGGCAATGGAAGCGACCGTGGCCGACGAGGCGGAGACCTGCCCAGTGGGAACGTATGGCTTGGTGCTCGTGGTGTGGGGAGCATTTGGAACGGCAACAGGTGTCTCTCCGGCAGAGGTGCCAGCAGGTGGAGCTGCTGAAGGATTTCCGGCAGCGACAGTTCCGGTAGGGACAGGTGGGTTTTTAGTCCATGACACTTGAGAACCGACGCTCGAACCAGGGCCAAAACCAGGTTTGGAAAGGCCGCCAGACAGAGTGGGATACACCACAGGACCAGTCCTGGCTGCGCTAAGCTGGCCTGCTACCTGAGTGGACTCAGAAGCATCTGCAATGGATTGGCGAGCCTCGGTCGATGCTGCCGCAGGCGCTGTTTTTGCCGGGGCAGATTCCAGGGTCTCACTAGACTGCGCAGGGCAAGCAAGGACGGTCTCGACAACCGTCTCTGTCACCACGCGAACCTTGGCCTGAGTTGCACGCTTGTTGAGAGAGTTTGTTGGACTGTAGGTGTTACCCTGCATCCAGCTAGCCACAACAGATCCGCCTTGGAGGATAGTGTTACCACGGATACCGGCAACGGCCACATTGGAGCCGGTGAAGTCGACATTCTCGAGGATCAACACCCCGCCGCCGACGGGAATACTGTCCTGAGTGAACGCGGTCACAACGCCAGTGGGAGTGTTGGTCACCGAGCTGTCGAGCAGGAGAACGGAGCCAACTGTCTGGTTCTGAGGCGCGTTGGACATGTTGAGACCGACCTGGCAGTTGTTGATGGAGATGGACTTGAAGGTCCAGGCCCAGTTCCAGTTCATGAAAACAGCCGTGTTGCAGTCGTTGAAGCTCAGGTTGCGGGTCGTGAACTGCTGGTTGCCCACGAACATGCCGTAGTTGCCACCATTGAAGACCAGGTCGGACATGAAACCGCCGGAGCCGTTGTCCATGAAGATACCTTGCTGCTTGTTGGCATCGCCGCCTCCCCTGATCATCTCGAAGCGGATGTTCTGCAAGCTGGTTGCCTGACCGACTTGCCAGTGGATACCAGCACCGGAGCTCATAGGCATGGCCGTGAGGTCGATGACCAGGTTGCGAATGGCGCGGAAGAAGTTGTTCTGGTTGGTGTACCAGTTGGAGCCGTCATTCTCGTATGGGTCGGCGTCAATCACTGCCATGCCTGTAAAGCCAGCGGACGCTTTGATCACAGGGAGATTAACGGCATCGCCGACGATTTGGGTGTAGTAGTACTGGATGATGGGCTTCGAGACAACATATGTACCGGGAGGAAAGTAAACCAGAGCGGGAGTGGTGGTAGAGGAATCGCACCCTTTTCCGCACCGGTTCCCGGAAGACATTGCCTGGTTGATCGCCGCAGTATCATCGGTGACTCCGTCGCCTAGATTGTTGGTCAGAAAAAAAAGTACCGTGGACTCAGTAGAAGGAGACTACCTTTGGCGCCAAAGTCCTTGACATTGCGGTAAACCTGATAACCCGAGCTCTGGCCGAAAGCCACGGCGCCTTGACGCTTGATATTGGCCACCCAGAAGCTCGACGCAGTATCTCTAGCTAGATTCGCATGCAAATCGAGAGACTCCGGGGTAGGGACTGCATTGGCAAGGCCCAGGAAGAGCAGTATCTGCGCCAGCAAGAGCACGACCGGAGTGCGAAGAAAGGCCATCTTCGATTCACTGGGATATGATCACTGAGCCAGCAATGATCAATGCAAGTAGCAAACAAATTTGATCAGCAACCAGTACTGAGAGTCTTCCCACGCCTTGTTCTTTGGCGCGTAGAAGATAAACGATTGGAGCGCGTATCAAGGAAAGACTGAGAATGCAAGGGGAATATCAGAGAATGAAGGGAATAAAGTACAGATGAAAAATGGAAGGAGAGACAAACACAGCACCAAACCACCAGAAATGAAGGAAGGAAGAGAAGACAGCGACAGAAGAGACAGAAACAGGTGAGAGAGAGACAAAGAAGTGTTAATGATTAGAAAGAGGGACTAGATCAGTGCCTTCAATAGTAACTCCTCAGGCCAGAAAGAACAATGAAGCCCGAGTGAATGGTAAGGTAAGGTATAGCGATTGTCCCTTTCAAACAAATACTATGACAATACACCATTAAAACCAATAAGAGTCATCAAATGAGGGAGCAGACCGCGTACTGTAGGTATTGTTTTGAAATTACCTCTTATAGTTGAGGAATGAATAACAGCCAATCAGCGAAAGTCCTTGGGCAGAAGTCAACTGCCGGCAGCCAATCAGATTAAAAGACGGCGGCCTTGCCAGTTGAGCGTGAAACACTCAGACGGCCCGATGAAACGCTTCAAGCAGCAGAAATCGGTGATGTCCTCCTTGGCTATAAATATGAGCGCTCCATCTGGAGAAATTAAAGGAAGAACAAGCCTTGATGGCCTCGTTCCATTATCGGGAAAATAGAGATACTAACCTCGAATTAGGTAGTGATTCGAACGAGTTGCCCTTGCAAGGAGAGGCCTCGACTCGCTGAGACAGGGAGCAGGGAGATGAGTACTTGCAAGCACAAGAGGAGAAGAGGCAGAAGAGGAAGAAGCGAAAGAAAACTCCTAGAGCAAAAGCAATAGATCCGTCCAGTAGCCTATATACCTAGGGCCAGACAACATACCGCGAAATCGTCCAGGACGACACAACCTACATACGGTCCACGAGTAAACTTAAGACACAAATTCCTTTCATCCCGGTTCTGGGCTTCAGTCTCACCTGTCAATTCGACACTTGCAACCAAGTTGGCGAGGAATCCTGTGTGCTTCGTATAGGCCGACAGCGCCCGAGATACAAGCGCGTGGGCATTCCATGCTCGACATATTTCCTGTTTTGGCGCTGAGGACTCAACGATCTGCACGATGATTCGTGTACCTGGCATCTGCACGTAGAATGACAGGAATCCTCACATAGCAGTCCAGGCCAACGGCGCGTGCGGTGCAGTCTCGACGCGCAGATCGACGGCCAAGAGATCCACTTGGTCGTTAGGAGGAGTCACTAGTTACCTGACTCGACATTCTTGGGTCGGGAATGGCACCTGGTTACGTCGTCGCGGTTGACCCTTGAGACAGAATTCATAATACGTCAGCAGGACGAAAAGTCTAAAGTCACGCTATCATGGGTGAGTCAGTTTTTCTTCATGGTTCGACTGCCCATCTTATGAGAAATATCGGCACTGCCTATGCGGATAAAACACAGGAGTCAGGACTACAGGCTACATAGAACAAACTGACTGCATCACGGCACGTGGGTCCACCGCATTATCCAGGCCAGGGGCAAAGTATGTCTGCCTTGCTGCCTTGGCAACTCTGAAACGATCTACATAGGAATAGCGAGATAGTTGCTAAATGCGAGCAGCGAGACCTGCATACGCCCTAAATAAGAGTCACTAATACAAACTTGATCAAGGACGGAAGCGAAATCCATCGTATCCAAGAGACCGACTCCCTCAAAATCAGAAAACAGGGAGACGTCTAGATCAGCAACAGAATCTACAGCGGGGGTTTCAGTTGCAGTCACCGCTTCGGGCGCGAGTATCTCGTCCATGATGCGGGAGAAGACTCGAGTCGCTCGGCTGAAAAATGCGTTGTTGGCGGTGCCTGGTCCGGCCATTGATTCTAGATGTGAGATGAAGACACTGAGGTGCCGAACGAGAATGCCTCGAGGATAGAGGCTTGGTAACTGGTTTGTGCTGGCGTGCATTTGGAGCGCTTTGAGTAAAACACTCGCGCTGGAAAAGCCGTAGAGGAGAAGCTGCGACTGGTTAGTCGCGTCTTTCGTGCAAGATACTTCCTAGGTGAATGGATCGCCTACCGTCCAGATAAAGTCGCGATGGATATCAACAACCCATTCCTGTTGTCTGCCAAAGGTCAAGACCGTCGAGAGAATGGTCGAACTGACATCGACCAATGCAGCGCTATATTCTGTGCTGTTGAGTGCCAACAGTCGCTGCACAAGAAACTCATTGTAGAGAAACGCCAGGTATGAGACAATGAGCATGACCTTGACGCTGATCGGTTGATGAGTGTTCCAGCAGTCCTCTGTATAGTGAAGATGACTAGGTACCAAATCCCAGGCCTGGCGGCTACGGCGGGAGACGTCTCTTTGTTTCACCATTAACCTTCAGCTTCAGGTCACGGGAAACCAAGCTCACCTCAATTGCTCGTCCCGATTTTCGCTGATCTTTGTCAAGGACAGCTCCAGGATTTCCTCCCGAAACGTACTGATGAGGAAGCGCAGTCGGATCCAGGCTGAACGCTGGTAGACAGCATGACAACTCCACCCTTCCGCCGTCACTGATCTTTGCGCAAGCTCTCTACTCCCGGTGAGAGCCTCATCGCTGATATCGAGAGGCAGGCGGCAACCAGAATGTCTCCACGAAATCCGGGGTGGTCGGCCCAAGAAGGTCGCAATGCTCTTGTCCAATTGATAGACAGCGGCTAATAGCCTGCGTCGGGACTCCAGCAGAAAGTCCGGAAGATCAGTGCGTTCATCCGGATCCCGGTGCAAACCAAGCTCGAAAATGCATGTCGCGAGTTCACCTAGCCGATGCCAGGTCACTGAGCCTTTCACCTCGTCAGTCTTCTGCCTACTTCTCCGCTGACATGTACAACTCACTCGAGTGACTGAGGACCAACGTGGACAAGAGAAGATTTTCGTGGAGTACCCAGAGCGTAAGGTCATTCACAGGCGATAGATATCTGCACGTTTGAAGTGCGGTATCACTCGCCGCGAGCATCCTGCGCGCAAAGTGTGAGGACAGGAGCTTGTTCTTCGGTCGCCCCAGTCCGAATTGACTCGCTCGACCTGCCAGAGCATAAACAACCCCAAGTATCTCCAAACGCAGGCAAGAACCTGCGTAGAGCCTGTGGAAGTGCGCTCCGTCCACCGTAGGCGGGACACTAAATTTCCGCCTCGTGTTGTCAAGGACGGTTGCAACTAACGCCGGAATTTCGGTCTCCCCTTGATCCAGCTGGTACGCATGGTAGGTATCCTGCATCTGGGAGAGTGCATTCAGGACGAAAGGCGCAGCAATCACGGCAGCCTGACTGACACCGTAGAATTCCAGTATCAGTTGCTTGAGAGTAGGGAATTCCACAAGATGGCCAACGACCTCGGTAGCTCTCTTCACCCACCACGCTGGAACAGACGACGCCGCAGTGCTTTCATCAGCGGTAGGGACTAGCTCATTCGCACCGTCTCCTTCGCCAAACAGAAACAAAACTGGTCGGTCCCAAGTATCCCGCTGAGAGCAAGTGGTCTGACCTCGAGCCTGGAGACGACAAAGCCTCAGGAGACCCGCGGAGTTCGGATTGGGGCTCCGCAGAAGCATGCTGATCCTCAATGAACCCCCGACTCCTCGTAGCCCGCGTCAAAGGCGCAGGATGATAAAAGCACCGACTGGTGCTGCCGCGCCGCAGACAGCGGGAACAGACAGGATGGCCATGATCACACCGGACTTTGTCTTTGCGACATGGCTCGCAGGAGGCGGGCTTTCCATTCCGGCGGCGTGACGTCCTGGCACGGTCAATACCATAGATATATTCCTTGTATTGAAAATGTGCAACTCACATAACCGCAGACGTCTACTTCCTTGTCCGGGTACTTTGACAGATCTTCCCTCGGGATCTGTGAATGATGCAGGCCATCTTCTGGTTGTAGCCCAGCAGTAGTTTCGGCGTTCGGCGTTGGGAGGGTAATCCCTGTCGACATTGCGCCGTATCGCAGTGAATCCAGGTAAGGTAGTCATGTGACCAACACACAAATGTAAAGGTTACAGCTCTTCTCAAGGTCTTCTTCCTACTGACTAGCTCGCCTGCATTTGGTTCAACCTCAAAATCTTGAATTTCGACTAGGCTCTCCGCTAAAAGCCTCAGTTCAGGTCCAGACAGACTGCCATGATAATACTCTGTAAGTATTCCAGGCCTTGTTCGTGGTGGAACTAGGCAGCTTAGTTCTGACCATTGCAATCTAAGGTGAAAGAAAAGTAAGTAAAAATTATAATTAAGAATAATATAAAGATATTATTATTTAGTTTATTCTCTTACTATTATCTCAGTTCATTCTCCCTATTCACTAACCTTGATTCTATTCACTCTGCTTATTAATTCTTACTATTCACTGACCTTAACTATATTCACTCTACTTATTAATAGTAGTGAATATCAAGAATTAAGCATGATACTATATGCAGCCTTATCTTCTACTTATCATATCACTATCTCCATCTTTCCTTCTTACATCTCTCTTCCCTTCTTATATCCATCTTTGACATCAGAAACCCTTTTCTGACCTCAACCATGACAAACACGGCGGATGATAACCCAGAGTTTGATTTCAACTTTGCTGAAATACTGGACACAGACCAGAAAGATGCAGGGCCAAAAGCTAAAAAAATAGAAAGCACAAAAAAAGAGTTGTAAGAGGTGTTAAATCTTGAAGACAACAATGACTGGATTGAATGGCTACGCTCCGGAATGGTAAGTACTCTTACTGAGAAGCTGGAGAACATTTCACTTAGTGATTTAGACCATGAAGGCCTTCCATCTGAAGATGACATAGATTCAGACGAGCCGCCGGTGATCTACAGCCGTGAAATGAAGGACCCCAAGCTTCTGGAAGAGAATTGGCTTGACCCCATCTGGCTTGAAGGAATTGGGTACCCCGGACCGGTACCTCCCGAAATCGAGGAGTATTTAGCATTCGACTGTGCTCGTAAGTACTACCTTGCCATATCTAGGGGTTTATCCTATAGCGATAGTTCTGACTGAGTTAAACAGGCTGTTACTCGATGGTTGGCTCCATCAGGAGCATCTTCTGGCTGTTCGGCCACAAAGAGTTGGTCAAAGTCATCGATGATCCAGCTTGTATTCTGGAGGATGAGATAGTCGCAGTCCCTCGCAACGCCAATCCCATGGGATTCTTGATGGATTACTATTCCGAGCAGGGCAAGATGCCGTTGTTTATTCAAGAAGTATACGATGGGCTACGTCTTCCTCAGTCCTTACATGCTGCGCCAGCCTTTCAGATCCCCGACGCAGTTACCTCAGAACCATCCCAACGTTGCATTGCGGACATATACCCATTTAGCCGCCCCCGGACTTTCCCGGACACCGCCCTGTGTCTAAAAATTAAAAGCGAAAGGAACCTTCACAAGACGGTAGGCCAAGTCAGGAGGAAACTAGGCGAAAGCCTCAACATTGACAGTGACACGCTTTGGTTTCGGGGCCTGAGCATGGTTGGGCTCACATTATCCATGAGCTCCTTTATACCAGTAATCAACCCCAACGCTCACGAGAATGAGTTTGGCCCAGGAATATATGTCGCGAAGGATTTCAAAACCGCGGCCAGCTATGCTCGGCCAAGCGGTGCCGTGATGGTCTTCAAAGATCCCGACTTCCGAGATCTCAATGTCTGGAGGCCTGACCTATCTGACTGGCAACACCTAACTGCTCACTGGCTACAACTACCACTAGGTGAACTCAAAGTGCCAGAGAGCTACAAGCACGCGGATGTTATCACCGGACCACGGTCACGGCCACTAAACCAGTCTGAGGCGAGGACTAAGAAATGCTTTGCAAACCAAAGTGAAGACCTACAATTGGTTTGTACTAGCTACGACGGTTGTAAACGTCTTGCGGCATCGTTGGTAGCAATCATCTACTTCACTGCCTAGGTTCCGCCTGTATCTGAAGGATGAAGAGGAAAGTCTCTTCAAGATAATCAGAAAGCTGGTTGAGGAAGGCAAACTCAGAAAATAGGCCACTGTAAAAGAAGACTTTACGTAAAGATATATTAAAATCACAAGTGGGCCACCCTCGATCTCATTAGGTTTAAATGGAGAGTTGTCGTTGGTCTGCTCTGCTTTGGAAGGGTAATGTAACTGCTGGTAGGCATTGAATTGGGGCCTGAAGGTAGTTGTAGGTAGGTATATATCTCTATCCTTAGCATGGTGGCAGATGCAGCACATAGACCACATTATTGGTCGATTTAATCTGCTTTCCACCATTTCAATTCGAAATCGCACACGCTCCTCATCGACTACTACTGTACAAGTGAATTATATTGTCGATGATTGCATGGCGTTGCTATTAGACCGGGTGGTAAGGTGGAGATAGAAAGGGTGGTGATTAGACAAGCTGTAACCATGAATCTCTACAGGGATATATAGATGACTATTGATGGCTAGAGGTTCTAAGAGTGGACGGACAAGGTGAACAAGTAACTGGGATTTGCTAAATTGCTAGGACCAGAGAGGAGATATATGCGGGCCGATCCGCTTTTAACCATGGTCAGTCAACACTACGTAGAAACGGCAGTGGGTTCAACTAAAGCATCATGAATGGCACATCCTAGTCGTCGCACTCCTTCAGCGAGTCGGTCCTCCTCAGACCATGCAAAACAAAGTCGCAGGCAATCATGAAAGTCGTTGCCTCGATCCACCGTGTCCCCGGGGACTTGGAAAATGTCACCAGCAGCCACCGTGACTTTCTGCTTCTCCAGAGCCAGTTGCACGATATCTCTTGCGCGTAACGGACTCGGAAGACGCACCCAGATAAAGTATCCACCGACGACCTCGGAGGAGTAGGGTAGTACTACGCCCAGAGGGAGAAGGTGTTTGCGGATAGCCGACATCATGACATGGTACCTGCGAGCATAAGCGGGCTGCAGGACCTCAGTTAGATGAGACTGGAAGGCCCCGTTGGCGAGCAACTGAGCAATTATCGTGGAGGCCATTTGGGACGGGGACCCTCCGGACCGCGATGAACCTCTGCCAGATCATCAGCTCAGATAGTTCGATTCCAAGGTCAAAATTACGAGGCAATACGCTTGAGAAAGACCGTAGGCAAACTTGGCCGTGCCTTCTGCCCATCCGGTCCGCATGCCAGGTCCGATCAGCTTACTGAAGCTCCCGTTACTGACGACGTTTCCCCATTCATCAGGGGGTCCTCCGTCCAGGTAGCGATCGATGTCTACCAACCGAGGCACACGTGCCTTGTCGGGCGCAGCAAGGGGGCGGTCCGGATCCACGGACCACTGGAGGAAATCGTAGACGTCATCTGTCACGATCAAGGCGTCGAACTCGCGCGCGAGCTGGACCAGTTTCTCCCGGTCGGACAGGGACATGGTCCGCGTGGTGGGATTAGAGAACGTCGGCGTGGCATAGATGACGTGTTTGTAGATTTTCCCCCATGGCCTCGGAGGTTTATGTTTCTTTACAGATCAGTTGGTGGATGGAAGAGAGAGAGAGATCTGATATACAGTCAGTGTCTACCGTACCGGTTCGAATCTCTGCTCTTCATTAGCTTTCCGCTCGGCGGCCTCCATCTCCCGACGGAGATATTCAAGATCGAGCCCCGCGTCATATTGCGGGACGGCTCTGATACGACCCGCGAAGCCGGCATCGTCCACCATCCGAGATGCTAGGTGATACGCAGGCGCTACCATCCAGACATGTCTGGTGTAACTTGGATCGGTGAAGACCTGGAAGATACATGCCAGATTCTGGCTGGCACCACCAGTAATGCAGATCCGGTCGAAACAAACCGGATCGCGTGGTTTGTAAAAGTGGGTCAACCATTCAGCAACACTCTTGCGAAGGGGCAGATAGCCATCATCAGGACCGTACAGCAGGGCTGGGGCCCAGATGGACGGCGTAGACAGGACGGTGGCGGATGCTTGGGCCAAGGCTGTGGTGGGCAACAGCGCAGGGTTAGGCCAGCCTTTGAAGAGATCGATCCGCTCTTGGGCGGGAATAAAACCCATGTCAATAGTTGTCACTTGCCACTTGCTATTATGTGTACAGTGTAGAAACTTTAACTATGTATGTGTTGGTGACTCGGTTTCAGTCGATGTCCTTTGGTGTTGAAAATTTCAGTGTGGAAGGACAAGGACACGTCAGTCCGGTGACGTTGGCCGCCGCCATTTGAAATAACTGAGACAGAGGAATACGCATGCCATTGTTATTTCTTTTCTCCTTCCCTTCAGTACCGGTCCTGGTTTGGATAGCTTACGACCAAGCATGTTTAATAGGAGCAATTGTGAGACTAGTGAGGAATTATCTACATTTAATCTAGTCAGGTTATTGTGGTGGATTGTCAGTTGAAGCACCACAGAAAAAGCCATCCGGATGACTTGGAAGAGTTCGGGTGTGGGGGAATACAGTACGTACTTTACCACGGCTGACGAACTGGTACCGATTCCGGTCGGGGATTCCAAACATTTTCTGCCACTGCGGAGCATCCATGTTTATGTAGGAATGCTCCGTTAACTATCTACTTATCAAATCAAACCAAACAAACAAGACCAACTAAGGTACCTAAGAGTCTAAGGCTCCTACTTTCGGATCCTTCCAAAGTCAAGCGCCAACAAACCAATCAAAAACAGGTCGGGTGGTGATGTTTCTATTTTTAGCAGATCAGGTACCTTTAATACTCCATAAGATTCCCGTCTTCTTTTCTGCTTCTAGGCTGATATCTAGCACCGACTGCCCCTGAGCCTCACCAAGGCTACCATAATTTATCTCAGCATCACGAAGAAAGTGCACAGAGAATACATAAATATTGGGAGACTATATGAAAACCATTGGTCATGATCAATAACGTGTAGAGGCAAAGTGTAAACAACTTAGTGACGAGTGAAGGTATAATTTGGGTAAAATCATACAAGGCGGAGTCCTAACTCCTAACCACACATTGGCATTCCAGCCAAAAATGTCAATTTACCTGATTATGTGGGTTTGTCTCTAGCTGACTTTTTTTTTTTTCCAGGAGATATCTGATAATCAGTATCTACCCGTGTCAAGATGCTAAATAAATTGCAAACAGTTTACCCTTGGCAGGTGGCTGTATGGTTCATACTTGCATTAGACATGGCGCATAGTGCATTTTCCACAGTGCTCATATAGAGCATGCCTTTGATGGTCAAACTGAAAGAGGATGAATGGCTTCACTGATCATGATGAAATCAATGTTGGAGACATTCTCAGCCATGCTCAAGTATTTCAGACGACAGACAGGAGCAGATGAGATGAGATCTGAATCGTCTGGTGATCCTGAGGGCTGTACGTACTCGGCACAGCTCATCAGGAGGCGGAGGCACCAACATAAATCACATTGACGGTTTAAATGGTCATTGTCGATAAACACACTGTTTTCAGACACAGCCTCTCCTGATCTCCTCAAAACCATCCAATACTAGAGTTGTTAGTCAATTATAATTACCGTAGAGCCGAGAAAACCAAGAGATTATTCCCCACTGGCAGTCACTAACTAACTAGAGCTAGAGACCTGCAGTAGTCCAGTACAGCCATGATCCATCATAAGAAAAGATTATTAAGAAAAAAAAGAAGTAGATTAAAAAAATGTAAATAAGATTTCTAACAGCATAAAATAATGATGAAATCGTTAATTAAGGGTCTCAAAAAGAATGAGAAATCAAAATCATTTCCTCTCCCTCCCCTCGTCTCTTTCTCTCAACTCACTGTGCAACTTCGGTCAATCAGTCGATGCTCTCCATACTCCACCACCATATACCAGCTTAGTGCCAGACATTCGTCATATCACTGCTTGGTCTTCCGAAAACCTCGAGCAGAACCAAGGTACTACTTGGATCAATCAGATCCTTGGCCAAGCGCAGCTGGCAAGTATCTAACAGGTAAAGTCTAACTACTACTGATCATTCCTCCTCTGATCCCCTCCTGCCGATCACATTCCCCAATAACACCACGCGCCAGAGACAACCACTCTCTCTCTGTTGCTCTCTTCCTCTTCCTCTACCCTACTCGTCCCCTTTCCTAAACCGTCTTTTTTTATATGGTTTAGTCCATTCTTTCGCATGGTTCGCGATTGAGTCTTACCTCATCTTCTGTTTTGTCTTGCCTTCCTTTTTTTTGTGATCGTCTTTCGAGTACATCCACCCGCCCGCTGCTGTCCGACTCTCCAACTTACCAATTGCTTTCTTGTACAGCGAACCCCTACGATGTTGTCAGCCCCTGTAAGATCGGCCAAGCGCATATCGTCCCTCTTTTCATTGGGGTCAAACAAAGATGGTTCTCTCTCCTCATCACCAGTCTCTCCGAGCTTGCCGAAGCACTCGCCCGACCAATACCCGCAGGATGTACAGCAACGCCCGCGGAGCAGCTCCCGCCCCGCGCGATTAGTGTCTAACCCTCAGTCCGACTATTCAGACACCCGGAGCATCAGAACGACAGGTCTCATCGATCAATTCGACTTGGATGAGCCTCTCCCTCCGCCTCCATCACTCCTGGCCGTGAACCAGGATCTTGCCAACAGCGTCAACAGTTCTCCCGATGGCAGACCGCAGAGCAGGGGCAGACCCTCCAGCTCTGGGGGGTTATTCGTTCCCGGGACAGGGCCGGATTCGCGCCCGGGGACCCCTTCGAAACGACGGAGCTGGATCCCGGGACGAGCGCGAGCGAGCTCTGTAGATGCTAGACCCCAGAATGCAAATACTCAGATGCCGACTGCTTGGATCGCCGGGTTGGATCAGAAGATCTTGTACGACGTGGGCCCTTTGATCCGAGGCGAACAGGTATGTCCGCTGTCTGTTCCTACTCTTCATCACCCTCGAGATTTGGGCTCAAGTCCGCTAATTCTACGTGCTATCATAGGTTCCGGAATTGTGGAATGAAAGTGGTGACACCTACGTCTACCT